TTTTCAACTACAGATTTCTTCGGATTTGGGGATCATAGTTCAAAAAGCCTTCTTATATATCTTAATTACATTATATCATTTGTGCAAATGCAACTCTACAGTACATATTCATGTATGTTTAATAGAACAGGCCCAGGAAGATTTAAATCCCATAGTCACTGTATCGCTAATGTAAAAAATCTCTTTTGTTCGTAGACGAAGTTGTACAATACACGGGAGCTCTTCAAACAGGAGGTTACTAAACTGAACTAAACAAAACGCTATCGCGTATTCAAAAAGGAATAACAATAGTCAGCCATAATTAATATGGCATCAACATCTGGAAAGACTTTAGGCGGCCAACAATTCAATAGCTTGACAATCTTTGAAATTACGTTAAAAGTTCAATTGTTCAAGCAAAAACTTTTTATTAACAGTGAGATGTTTTTGAAAAAAGCCTGTCAAAATCATAAAATTGAAAACGTTGATAAAATGTTGGAAATTGTCTCTAGAATAAATCCTGAAAATTTCAATAAGAATGGTTGTTCCATTCCAAATGTAGAGTAAAAACACGACTTTTTATTATTTTTTATTATTAATAATGGCATTGATATGAATAAAATTACAATACTGGTAGACTTTGTCCAGAAATTAACAACTATTTACAAAACTAATATTCCAAACAAAATCATTACTATCAGGGCAAATGATCAACCGTTGTTTAACGACAAACTTAAGTTAGAAATTAAAAAGAAGAGACAATACTACAATCAAATGATAAAAAATCCAAGTGATGAAAATATAATAAAATATGACCAACAAGCGTTACAATTAACAACTTTAATCAAAGAAGCTAAGTGTCAAAACGAAATAAATACCTTGGAATCAATGAAGACTTTGAGCAAAAATGATAAGAACTATTGGAAAATAATTAAATCTTTTCTCGGTAATAAGCATGTTAAATCGGATATCCCATCAATTATAGATGAAAATTCGAATCACCCACTCACTAGGAACTTAGATAAAGCTAATGCATTTTTGACCTTTTTTTGCAAATAAGAATCATCTAGATGAAAATGACAATCACTATTTGTCAGACTTTCCAATGAGAACAAACTCACTGCTGATTTCAGCTAAAACTGATCAGTTTGAAGTTATAAAGTTAATTTTGACTCTTGACCCTTCCAAAGCTTGTGGCCCAGATGAGATAACAAATAAAATGTTAAATTTAACTGCACACTCACTTTCTAAACCACTATCTGAACTTTTCAACAAACTAATGGCCAAGAATATTTTTCCTGATACTTGGAAAATTGGCAGTGTACAGGGTGTCCAAGAAGTAACGTCAATGACCCTGGCATTTTGTCATTTATGCTTCAAATGTCATGAAACTTGGTCAGAATTTTCCTTGTACATTTATAAATATAAATATGAAGTATGGAGTTACTAGCATTTGATTGGCCGGATTTATGGTTACCATAGTAACACAAGTGCATGGACCCCGGGGCAGCTCTGCAATCCGTAAGATCTTTGGAAAATAAAATAACCATAAACACTAGTTTTGAAGTGTACATCTTTTATTTATAATATGACCACAAATATAATGTTTTCAACTACACATCATTTATTCATAATATAGCTGTTGCTGGCGTTATATTAGTGTTATATTAAAGTTTATTGAATGTTACTCCACATAATCACGACCAAGTTCCATTCTCTGGTGTCTTCTTACCCACTCCAAGAAAACTCTATTGAAACCACCAGAGCTCATTTCTGCAAGGGATGACAGAACAGAGCTCTTAAGTTCTTCATTTGAATATATATCTCTCCCATAAGCCTTCATTACATCTCTGATTGTTTCTTTCGCTGTTTTACCTAGTTTTACATTATATTTAATACTACATCTTTGCTCAAGCCTACTCTGTGCAGGTGCCATTTTAGCTGTGTCCGACTTTGATTGTGATATAATCAGGACATCATCCATGATAATTCTAAGAATTCGGTCCAAGAGACAGAAAACATATTATGATGTCATAAAGTACTCCAAAGAAGTGTTACCATGGTAACTCCCAATAAACAATAAAACCGTTAAGATTTGAAAAAGTCCCAAGACATTGCATTTCATTTTTGCCAAAGGTTTTACCTTATAATAACCTGATTTACATAATATTTACCAGGTACATTCTGAACTGCCCCGGGGTCCATGCACTTGTGTTACTATGGCAACCATAAAATCGGCCAATCAAATGCCAGTCACTCCATACTTCATATTTATATGTATAAATGTCCAAGGAACATTCTGACCAAGTTTCATGACATTTGAAGCATAAATGACAAAATGCCAGGGTCATTGACGTTACTTCTTGGACACCCTATTTTTAAAAAACAGGACAAATCCAAGATTAGTAACTACAGACCCATAACATTACTCAACACATTATCAAAATTATTTGAGAAAATTATAGCTGACCAAATCAAAAAACACTTAATTTCAAATGATCTTTTGATCAAGTATCAGTCTGGCTTTCTACCAGGCCATAGCACCCATTCTCAGCTAATGGCAATTGAACATTTTTTACTTACCAATTTTGACCAAGGCAAAGCCTCTAAAACCATTTTTCTTGACATTGCAGCTGCTTTTGACTGTGTTCCGCATAACTTACTTCTACACAAACTAAGGGCCTACGGTATTCATGGACAACTTCTAAATTTATTAAAATCATATCTGACAAATAGGCGTTTTTTTGTAAACATTGCTGGTGAGTCATCAGTAACAACTGAAGCAGGCTTCCTAAACTGTGGCATACCACAGGGATCAATTTTAGGTCCACTTCTATTTATTTTATACATTAATGACCTTCCTGATAATGTAAACTCCAAATGTTATATCTATGCAGATGACACATCTCTTCATTTTATTTTTGACCCCAAAAAGCCCCAAGAAATTGATGAACTAGTTAAATCTGATCTAACTGAGATAGAAAACTGGTCCAAATCGTGGAAATTACAATTTAAACCAGAAAAGAGCTGTGAAGTTATTTTCCATGGAGTTAGAGCAAATCCTCAAAATGTAAGCAAATCCTTTCTAAGTGACTCTGAAATTGAAAGAACAAATGTACATAAACACCTTGGATAAACTTTTGATCATAATCTGACAAATCAAAACCATATTGAAGAAATATATGATAAAGTTAGGAAAATGATAAATCCCCTGAAGAACCTTAAAACAAAGTTAAACTCAAGAGATCTGGAAACGCTTTTCAACTCATTTATAAGACCTCATTTTGATTATGGTACTGCTATTTTTAACACTGCATCAAAATATCTTCTAAATAGACTTGATCAAATTTATTATCAGGCTGCTCTTTTGTGCTCTGGTTGTCTTCATGGCAGTAATACTGATAAAGTTTTGAATCTTCTTCAATGGCCTTCTCTAGACACAAGAAGAAATATGCAAATTAACAACTTTATGTTCAAAGTTGTAAATGGTCCAAATCCACTCTTTTTAGATGAAATTTTTGATAAATTCAAAAACCAGGGAACACGCACTCTGTGTGATAGATCTGACTTTAATTTACCAACCAGGTGCTCAAAGAGGTTCTTGAATTTATCAGTTCCATCAGCAATATCAAACTGGTCACGACTACCAAAACGATTACGTAATTTGAAAACTCTCCAATCCTTTAAAAAACGCCAAAAGATTTTGTTTAAAAACCAAGAAAGTTTTATTAGCACCTCCAAACTCAATCTAAAAAGATCTCATGAAATTTTGATTAACCAATTTAGAGCTGATCTACTTTTCAAAGCCCAACTTTATGCTCACAACTTTACTTATGTTGAGAATCCAAACTGTAAATGTGGAGCCCCCCAGACGGAAAAACACTTCTTCTTTCAGTGTCCCCTTATTAAAGAAAAGATAACAAAATTAAAAACTGATATTATTAATATAACTGGACTATCAGATAATCATTTAACTCAGAATGATCTCCTTTACTTGATGAAACATGGCTCTGACAATATTTCCCTTGATCTAAATTCACACCTCCAAACCTCAATTGCTGAATTCATTGAAATGAACCTATAACGTTTTCCCCTCCCTACATACTATATATACTATACTTTATTTTATATTATCCATACTTAATATTTCCACCCCATGGCCAACCACAAGTGCAGAGTGAACCCCTTGACCTAATCATAATTTTGTATTTTGTGCTATCAATGTACCCTTCTATAATGCCTTCGGGCGACTGAAGGGATTTATATTATGATATTTTTATGAAGCAATAAATATTTCTTAATAAAAAAAAAGTCACAAGTGGCGTATTAATTTTGACTTCATTTTTGTGAATTTCAATTTCTGTCGGCAGAGAGAGGGGGTAGTGTCACAACTAAGAACCTCAGATAGGCTAGTGAGGCCACATAAATCCATAACTCGAGATAAAAAGTCAGGCGATAAGGCAGTTTGGACTTTCCCCTTTTGGCGTTGGTGCCCTTGAACTTTAAGTGGTTAAACTTATGCGATATGTCTTTTGGCTAAATGATTTATAATATACTCTCAGCTATATAGTACACCGGACATAATAGGAATGGAACATTTTGTTATAAGGTCAGACGTTGAAGTGATTATTGAAAACATAAGAGGTTTTTGACACCCCTGATTTTTTTTATCACGGCCAAGAGTTATTAAATGCCTGTCGTCTTTATTTCAATTACAGTTTTAATATTGAAATGAAGGTTGAGCTTACATCAAATGATGGATACAGGATGGGCAAAACAAAAAGCTTTACACCAAATATAAAAATCAATTGATTAACTAATTAAAAGATCAATGCCCTAAATTAGCCACACGGTGCAGTGGCGAACGTTAAGCCCACACCGCTAAAGTGACGTTTCAATATATAGGCGTGGTATTTTCCATGATTCGAGATACTGATAAAACGCACACTATTGCCAATAAAACCATCACATTGTATGCCTGAAATTGATAATCTGCACATTTTGATGATTTTACCGAAAATCATTTCCAATATTTGTAGATGAGACAGGACTAAATGTGAGTTTTGTCCTTGTGATCCTAACATGCCCGAGGTACTACAATTCTCAACAATCACTTATAATAGCTCAAATTCAAGGTTATGAGTGAATTGCAGATTTACACAAAATGGCAAAGTATATCGAAGTACAGAAAATAAAGAAATCTATTCGAAAAATAAGAGAGATATTTGGAGATGATTGTGATTTTGTGAAATCCTTCGATTTGCTAGTTGATAGTTACTCCGAGGATTCCAAGATATCTGAGCAAGGGGGTCAAATATCAAATACTGCCTTTAATCGACGGATTGACACACTGCATAAAATATTAGCTACGGTTCAAGAGATTCCAGAAGTTCTTCAAGTTTGGCCCTTCACGAGGGGGAAGTCTACCCGCCTATATACAACCTACTGCCGAGTAAGACACGCTTAAACTGCCAATCCAATGTATGGTAAACTACATCTCATAGGAAAATGGACAATAAAGGTAATATTAAGCCACTAGCCCACTATCAATTCCCGTGGATGGTTAAAATCGTTACTAAGATGTTCTAGCAGGCAGAATTGGCCCAGAATTTTAGTTGAAATATTTTTTTATGTCCAAATTAAGAGATAAGTAAAACGTATGATGGTTTTCGATTTGTTTTTCTCATTCATACTCGCTTTAATTGATAACGAGCCATAATACATAAGACATACTTGGGCCGTTAAGTAAAATCTGTTGAGATCCGATGATATCGTTGAGTTAATTATGACGTGCTGATGATGAAATGGTGTCAGGGCTACTTTTGAGAGTTTTTGAACCTTGATTTAATTGCCTTTATTAGAAGGGTTCCTCGTTATTAATACTATTGTAACATTTTGAACCAGACTGACACAGTAGAAATTAGGCTATCAACACTGAAGGATGATAGAAATAGCGCGGAATTGCATTTAAATCAATTATTATCCATATTTATAGATGAAAATGAATATGTTCCACGATCTTAATCTCTACTGGTCAATCTTTCTTCATTTTAGTAGCCGTTGTACTGATATCTTTGGGGATAGGAATAGAGCGGAATTGCATTTAAATTAATTATTATCCATATTCATGGATAAAAATGAATATGTTTCACGTTCCTAATCTCTACTGGTCAATCTGTTTTCATTTTAGTAGCCGTTGTACGTGCTGATATCTTATCTTAGTCAAAGTTGAGAGCGAATGAGTATAACGGGTCTTTTAGCCTTGGACATTTTAGATCAATCAAAATATATAACTATTTTTCATATGTTTAATTTGTTGCACACAGACGTTGACGTATAGTGCTGCTGGAATTATATCATATTATTTTATATCCCGACGCCAGGAATATATGATAAATCAACAGGAATATTTGTGATATACGTCGTGTTATTATATGATCACTCGAAAGCTTACTCTCTACCTCATCGGGCTCTATTGACGGTATAATCGGAATACTCAGGCGGTAGCATCGGCTACTATGGAATCGTACTCGTGGTATAATCGGGTCTTTCATTTTCAACTTTCACCGGTGATTTCAATGATATGCAACGTATGACAGTGAAACAAATGTGATATATTTGCACATTGTATCTTTGAATCAAATGGAGTAAAGACAGCCATGGATCTTACTTATTTAAGATGTAAAACATCATTCAAATATTTAGAAGTTGTTGAATTTAGCGATTTGATAGTAAATATTGCATTAAGTACTCATTATTTTGCAAACATGAGTGCCTGGAACAACAACTATATCGGTTACAAACAATTAAGTGTTTTATCTATTTCTCATATTGAGAAATTCAATATATAAACAGGAGTTTATTCACTTCCACCCTACATTGTCAGACATCTTAGGGTCTTTGCTCGGCGGTAGGTTGTATATAGGCGGGTAGACTTTCACCGCGTGGCCTTTGTTGAGTTTAAACTTGTGAGAAAAATAGTTAAACCATCCTACATTAACGTTAAAATGGTATATCTTACTTCTACACCTGTGTAGGGCTGTGTACGTACATAAGACTGTTACCCCAGGGAGATAGTATTCTCCTAGTATTTTGTATTTTTACCAAGTAATTGCCCCAAATAATGTCGTGTACATCGTAGCCCGGACAGAATTGTTCAATGGTCACTTTGTCTTTAATAACTTTTTTAAGTTTCAGTATTATCAAAATCTGACTACATATTTGAAAACAAGAGTAAAATTCTGACAAACAAAAAAATATTTAAGGGACATCGCTTATTTTATTAATATTATAGGCGTTCATAGTATGAGTGACGCAAATACATAATTCACCATTTTGTCTCATATTTGTTCAAAATGGTGGCATATTTTGTGGTTTGAATGTTCAGTTGAAAGTTAATATTTAACCTGTGCAACTATAGGGTCATACTTCCACAGTTTGTAATGTCTTTCCCAGTCACACGCCTCTTAATCCAGATCCATCCTTGGCATGCATGTGAATTGTTCTTGAGCTTTTCAATGGCCTCTGAGATGGCTGTTTGGAGCTCTTGAAAAGATTGAGGACCGACTCTCGGCACACCCCGCACATTGGGGCGCCACCTTTTCACATCCTCTTGAACACAACCCCGAACAGTTCAATAGAGTTGATTTCATATACCCTTGGAGGGAGTTGACTTCTTGTATTTGATGATTGGTCAGTTGCTGCATTACATCAGGATTGTAACGGTGGCAGCATGGCCCTATAGTCCTGTGACAATCTTTAAATATTACCTTTCAACGGAACATTCAAATTCACAAAATATGCTGCCATTTTGAACAAATATGAGGCAAAATAATGAATTATGTATTTGCGTCAGTCATACTATGAACACCTATAATATCAGTAAATTTAGAGATGTTCCTTAAATATGTTTTTTGTATGTTAGAATTTTACTCTAGTTTTCAAATATGTAATCAGATTTCGAAAATACTGAAAATTAAAAAAGTTATTAAAGAAAAAGTGACCATTGAACAATTCTGTCCGGGCTACTATGTAAACTAGATAAGGCGAATTACGTCACAAGACTGGAAACACAATATAACTCTCAGATGTATTATCCAATGCTTCCACCTGTTCATTTTCTAATTCTAATTAATTGTCAGGTTAATATACAGGTGCAATTTTGATTTTTGTCAATGCTATAACACAAGGAGACTTAAACACTTGTGGTCATTCTGAAAATTACTAACTTGGTGTTGGAAGTAATGTAAATCATATATAGATACCACATTGGGAAATGCTTTCATTATTATTATTATTATGTTTATTAATCCATCATTTTTGATGAGTACATTTTAGTTAAGTAACATATAATACATATGAAATTATCATTTTCATTTATACATTATATGATGTGAGATAAGATTTATAGTACAGATTAAAATTACATGTATATTACATTTGTGTGTTATTTTGTCAAAAGTTGACTATCAGACCACTTATGCCTCATTTGGACGCATAGTGTACATTTTAAATACGGTTGTCACAATTAAGATTAGTTCATTGTCATCTAGGATCTGACCTTCGTCGAAAATGAAATTAAGTTTTTGGTTGATGTTATTAAATTCTACAACTCCATATTCCCTCATCAAGTCCATTAATGGAGTTCGCGCTTCACTTAAAGCCTCACATTCAAATAACATATGGGATAACGTTTCTATACAATTCTCACACATTTGGCACAGTCTAAGATAAGTTGGTGTATTATTCCAACGGCCTACATTTACTTGGAGGTTTCCCTCTCCTACCAGAAGCATTACCATTAGGCGGCAATGTTTCAATAGTCTAGGGTATTTATGAGCAACTACCCACCATGAAATGGGCTTGATCTCTGTTACAACATCTCTGTAAACATTGAGTTTTCTATACGTTAACAACTTAAAATGCCACTCATTGATATGATAGTCTTTAAGTTTTTCAATGACCATTCGTTTCCACTGTAACTTACAGGGTACAATTGCAAATTTTACCATATTCATAACGTTCGACCATAAACCGTATTTAACACATGTGTTCATTATGTCACGTAAAGGAGACTGTACATTAAGGTTGGCAACACTCATTTGAATGATACGTATGATGCAAATTCTTCTGTAAATGTTCCCAATGGGCAATGCTAAAAGACTCCATAAGAACAATAATTTCATTAGACTGATCTTGTACGTTATGTTATGCCAACCCAATTGTGCCAAGACAGCTGGATCACTTGTGTTCTTAGGTAGTCCTTGGCATTTCTTGGCAATAGCTCTATGTCCATCCTCTAGCTTCCTGTAGTCATTCTCATGCAGAGGAATTACTTCAAAACCGTAAAGCATAGAGGGAATGGCTACTGTCCAATACAGCTTTGAAATGGTAAGGGGGTTAGGTGGATTCGTAGGGCTCGATGTTACACCTACGTACGCATTGATCGTCCTCCTGCCCTTGGCTATCCGATCATCTATGAACTGGTTAGTCGTCGGTGATAAAGGGAGACCCAGATGCTCTATTTCTGACACAGTCGGGATAATATCGCCACCTATTGTTAAGTCACATTTTAATACATTTCTTCCTTTACTGAAGACTATTGATTTACATTTATTTGGATGAAAGCTAAATCTCCACTTTACACTGTATTGATAAAGTATGTGAAGCAGTTGTTGCATGATAGACTTGTGATACGCTATAAGAATGGTATCATCTGCGTATGTTGGGATCGTTGTAGTAATTCCACTTATTGTTGACCCTAAACCACTGTCACATACCTCAGTTATCAGACCATGGGTGTATTTTGAGTACAATTCCATACTATAGATTCCTCCTTGATGAACCGATTGTTCGACAAGGAAGGGCTCGGACATCTCACTACAGCCGCCAATCCGTATAGCACAGGTATATCCATCATATGCATTTCTTAGGATTCCCCAGAGTTTGCCTCTTATTCCTTGTTGGTACATCTTGTACAACAGCCCGTTGTGATAAATTCCATCGAAGGCTTTTCTAATGTCTAATGCCACAACGATGACATCATTGCCCCTATCTAGGCCGTAGGCAATGGCTTCCCGTGTTACAAGTGAAGTATGTAAACTGGAGCACCCCTTCCTGTTCACTCCTTGTAACTCATGCTTTATTTGGTGAATGCCCAAGTCCTGAAACTCTTGGTCCCTCTTAGCCATTAATCCTTCCAGCAATTTCATGTACGTACACATCAGCGTGATTCCTCTGTGATTGTCTTTGTTAAGGACATCTTTGTCACCGCCTTTAAAGAGCGGTATCAGGACGCCAGTCTTGAAGCTTTGGGGAACATATTCTGTACGCACAATATAGTTGAAAAGCTTGGTTAAGGTGGCGATGAGCTTTTCTCCTCCAAATTTGATATGCTCGGAACTAATTTCGTCCCATCCTGGTGCCTTATTGCTGGATAGCTTCTTACACAGTGACGTCATCTCACACTCTGTTACTTCTTGTTTAAAAGCATCAGATTCACCGTCAGTATATATATTTGAAAGGTTACGAACTTCCTGATCTATGTAGGACCGAAAGTCGCTATCAAATTGTTCATTTTCATTAAAGGACATTAGTTTAGCGAAGTATCTGCGCCAGTCTTCTCTAATCTCATTAGGGTCTGTCAAGACGTGCCCATCATTTCCTCTGATACAGATTGGTCCTGATTTACCCCTTCTCCGATTTTTAACAAGTGACCAAAAATGCTTTGAGTTTTGGTCTTAGCTTGTAATATGATAGTTTCTAAATAGCAGAAAAAGCAATGAAATATAGTGCTGCCATCTTTTATTCAGCTTTTAATTTGGGCTAGAGTTGCATTCACTTACATGTTAAAATTTTGGAATAGTGCCTTAATTTCATGATTTATCAAAAAGTGTTAGTTGAATCAATGTAAAACTTGAATGATATACCATATGATGACCCTGGTAATGTACATGTTGTGATTAAACATGCAAATGCTGGTTGACATACAAATAATCCAAGGTTTTAAAGAAGTTTAGCATTGCATCAATGGAGATTTGGCCCAATTTTTTTAAATGTCATGAAAAATTATTCAAATTACATAACTGTGTAAATCAAAGCTATTACAGGAGAAAACATTTCACTGAATTCAAATATGCCATTTAAAAGAAGGAAATGTAAATCGTTATGCAAATCTCTTAAAACCTCACGAAAAACGAGATTTAACGAGATTTCAAAAGCTATAGAAACTATACTATTGAATTGATTTCTCATTTTAAAAGTCCGTTCATTGAGTCCATTGAGTTCCAGACGTGACCTTGACCTCATTTCGGTTGATCTTAACTGTTGGCCTTGATTGTCATCCTCGATAGATGCTATAATGTCCGAACACTCATGTTTAAAGCGGTACCTTACCTCCCTGCTGGTCAAACAATTCCAGTTTCTATTCTTTTCGATTTTTTACAACTTTAGTGTATAAGAACAGAAAACCCTGATCACATGGTGTTCTTTATTCCCAAAAATGTCAGCTACATTTTTATGCGATTTTGTCCATTTTAGGTTCCTATAAAGTGTCCGTTGTTCATAACTGGTAACATGCGTACAGGCTCGACATTTTTGCATCACCTTTTGTCTCTTGATTCTGCGTTCCTTTCGCCCCCTGTTTGGCAGTTTGAAAACCCATCACCATTTCCAGTCGACTTCAAGGAAGAAAGAATGAAAGATTTCCAACCAATTGCAGGTACAGAGTACAACATCTACATATCCAATAGACTAGATGCGAGTAGAAATAATCTTGATTTACGTCATCAAAAATTCAAAATTCAGTCAAACTGATGTCATTTTTGGAATCTACATGTAGAATTACATCTAGAAATGTGGTTTTGAAAAGAGCTTATCAACTTTGAAAATTTAATTTTCTTTGAAAATGTGACTTCTAGGTGGGGGGGATTCCCCATAGAGCCCATGTTGTAAAATCACAAAAAGTGAAATATCTTTTCTTGTGTTGGGCAGATAATGTTTTCTTTTACTGGGTATATTTTAATTTGTATAACTATCAGATACAAAAGGGTAATATGAAAAGTGAACCACTAAAACTGATGAATATTCAAGTTTAAGGGAATTTTGTAATACTCTGCCATGTTATTTCCCCCGACTCAGCCACCTGGTGGCGAAACTGGTAACTAACTACTCGCATCTGAGTAATTACCGTTTGTGACACGGACTTCACTTTTGTCAGTTGCGATTTGTGACTCATCAATATACAAATGCACATACCATATATACAGGAGTTGTATTGTATGCAAAACTCTTAAAATTTACACGAGTTTGAAAATCGAGTGTTAAAGTTAGAATGTCATGGGTTACAAACTTGCAAATGGATGTATACTTTATATAGCATCAGAACATATTTTAATTCTATTTCTTTAATTAAAGTTTTTAATTGTTTTAGATCTGTGGAACTCGAGACCTGGATTCACTGCAGTACATCCAGCATTCACCCCTCTTTCTATTGAAGAATGTTTCTGGATATTTTTCCGGACTGGTGTGTGGAGGGACGCTAACACAAGCATGTTAAATTCAGACAGTTATATCGACTGGTATATTTTATAAAACAACATTTTTGAAAATTATATAATGATGACCAAAAAAGAACCTCCCAAAGTTACATGTATATAGTTTCTTTTTGATATCTTTAAACCAGTGGAATACATGTATCTATCAGACGCTATGCCTTTGACTTCGCTATCGCACCTGTGTAATTTCTTTGATATATGTCACGATTTAAGGGTAGTGAAAAATGAGATTTTCAAAATTAAAAAAACGTGTACGGTTTACTTCATTACAATAAAAACCCAGTAAATTGTGGCTGCTCTTAAATCGTGACACTGTTGATTTCTTTGGACTCTCGGAATTTTCGCACATTACTTTGAGGTTCTAACAAATGGTCGACGTCTTTAACCAATTACAGGGTAGAAACATTGTTAGTTAATTCAAGACTGTTAAAATTAAGTTATAACATCAGAAACTGATTTCCCATTTTCTTTTCTTGGTAATAACATAGATGTCATCCAGGCAAGGGACCACCAATCACTAAATTCAGTTTTGCACTTAGAATCATGAAACATGAAGTACATGTTGAACTGGCCTCAACCTAAATCCTAGTGACTTTGCCTTAAACTATAATATATTCTTACAGGTATGAGAATATGACACAACAGGAGGAATTGAGAATTATCCGGCATTATAAGAAGGAACTCCAGATCATTGCCTTTAAACAAGGTACGTTTAATAGGAAATTACCCATTCAGTTGACATTTGACTCTAATAGGACATAAGAACAAGAGACACACGAGTCCTAATAATTTAAGAGGGAGTTTAAGCTTGATTTAAGTCGAAACGCCAACCTATACGCATGACCAATCTCCCATACAAATGCATCGCTTAAATATTTTCCGTTCACGTTTAGATGAAAAACATTGCAAGCTTAAACTCCCTAATGCTTTATCTCCAACGTCATGTATATGCATCATTCGCGATCGCTGGGAGTTCATGTCCCTTATCGTACCCTGCGCACCGAGTCTAGTTATAAACTACGAAGACGACGCTCTCTTTTAAGAAGCGAAGTCAAACTAATGCATTTTGGGTACGAATCATGGACGAGGCTGTGTATCTCACAACAGCCCATATCACTGAAACGTGAAGTGTTTTTTGTTTTACATTCCAGGAAATGATGACATGTCATATATAAGAAAAGATTCATATCATTTGAGATTCCTCCCAACTCTCTTGGAGGTTTTCCCCGATGCAAGAATTGTGCATTTGGTCAGAGATGCAGCTGCGAACTTAGCTTCCATATGTTCAATATCTTACATTGTTGCTACATTGATATATGATGAAAAGGACATCGATCGTGTAAAGATTGGCAAACTGGCAATGAGGTACAGTAAATTCGGCATGAGGAAGTTTCTGGAGTATAGGAAAATATACGATGCCCAGTTGAAGCCAGGGGAACGATCAGTATTCTACGATGTCAAATATGAGAGTCTTCTGGCTGATCCAGTTGAAACAATGAGTAAAATATATTCTCATTTTGAAATGGACCTAATTGATGAAACTAAAGAGAAAGTAGGTGTTTATCTGGATGATTGTTCAAAGAATTGGAAAGCCACATATCCGCATTCTTTAGAAAACTTTGGTATTACTCAAAACGACGTTGATGAAATGTATCATGATTACATGAAATACTTTGGTTGATGCATAAAGCATTTAATCACCACCTTGCGAGGCCTGATTGTACATTTACAAAATAAGGCTTATGTTTTACTACAGTGTGTCCCAAAAAACGCAACAAAGAAAAACATTGTAAAATCACAAGACCAGTGATTATTACATCAATATCATTTAGTTTATCGCGAATCCACGTGTCTCCCCTTTACAATGATATGTCATTTGTTCATATCTGATCATGGACCACTGAAAATTCATTGTTTTTCGTACATGGGTGAAAAGGTCTTTGTGCCAAGTTATGAAATATCAATCAACTGGATCCTTATTGTGCAATCAGGAATCATTATGTAATTGGTACTGGGGATTAAATTTTTGTCACAAGATTTACATAACACAAGTTTCTGATTTATATTTACTAAGAAAAAAGAAAAATGAAGAGAAAATTTAACTTTAAGTGGCATAAACAGTCGTCGTCTGTCATCTAACCCCCCTATCACACCAAACTAGTTCTTACCCGTTCTTGCCAGTCCTACGAAAACGTCGTAAAACGGGCTCAATCTGGCTGTGGTCGAGAAATATGTCTAAAATAATTAGCTACTTCGTTCATAAATAGTCTTCAATACGTCAATCTTCAATATCTCATTCGCAGTTCGTTCAGGTCGCACCACGTCATCATGACCTGATTACAGAACGGTATGGTCGCCATCGAATTTTGAATCGATTCAAAATTCTAAATCACATTCCCCGTCCGGGAGGAAAACTTCCATGAAGTTCGTAAACAGACCGTAGAACGTTGTAGCTACGTTCATTCCGTTCGCACACAGTTTAAAACCAGTTTTGACGACCAAGAGAACATTTTGAGCATGTTAGTTCTAGAGGACCTACCCGTTCGAGTACGTTCGATGAAGTTTGTAAATAGACCCCAAACGGTTCTAAGTACGTCCAGTCCGTTCGTACACAGTTGAAGCCCGTTTCCGAGAACGTAGTGAGAACTAGTTTGGTGTGATAGTAGGGTTATGAAAGATTACTCATGACAGATTACATTTCATGCCATTTCACATGACCACTATTTCTCTACACACTGAGACTGGCCTGTGTCCATGTCGCACACCTCTTTGAATCATCTGGGGTTCTGGCAGAGAGCAGCAACCTCATTGGTGACTCTTTTTTAAACTGTTGCAATGTCTAAAGCTTTGCCAGAGCAGATTTTGGCACGTTGTGCAAAAGGAATGCTTGTTCAGTGGTCCGTGGTTCAATATGAATAATTGGCATACCATCGGAAAGAGGCTTCCTGGTTAACTAAATCAAATTGATGTAATCATCACTGGTTTTGTGATTTTACAATGTTTTTGTTTGTTGCGTTTTTATGGGGCGCACTGTCTATTGACTTTAGCAATAGTGGCGGGCCATGGTGGTCATTATCTGAGTTTGTATATATTTAGTTTGCAAGAAAAAGGTCCGAACGATTAAGTTCATCATGCTGAATTGGACCACGACACAACAAAACATGATTTCGTGCACTTTTTTTATTGCATCTTTCTTACACAAAACATTATACATAATATACATACAGACCAAATCCATATACATTGAATATTTAATAATATTATTACATATTTATATTTAACAATTATACGTTTTTACGCTTTTCAGACCATCTCCATTCAGAGTATTTAATTTAACTTAATTAAAAGGGTACCATTTGAAAATACAATACATGCAATTACGATTATCTTTCAATCGTATTGGGTTGACAATATTTTAATATAAAAGGGTATAAAGTAAAACAAAAAATTCAATGCTGTTTGTTGAAGTGTGGTCGTGTTCTTGATCTAATTTCCCGACAATTATGTCTTTAATTGTAAGATCAATATTGAAGAATTTTTTGAATTCATCCCAAATCTTGGCAGAGTTTGGGCACTCTATGAAGAAGTGTATCGTATCATCTATTTTATCGTTTTTGCAAAAGTCGCATAAATTTGAATTTTTTCATATTCTTTTGAGTTAAAAATTGATTATTTGGTGTAACGTTTAAAACAAGTTTGTATTGAAGGCATTGTATTCTCGGTTCTCGAACCGTCTTAAAATGTTGCACTAATTATAATACGTGCATTCAGTTGTACTAATTGGGTACATAATAAAGTTGTTGAAATACGTACATATATTTGTGTTGTAGACTGTTTATCCAGATCAAGTATGTCTAGTATTTGATGTCTAGTAAATTTTTACTATCTTAAATGTAGATAGTACTATATCCCTATTTAATCAAAACGACATTATCTTCATGTTATATCAATTAATCATATATTAGTCTCGATCTTTCGACGACAATCAAATACGTGAATAAAACCAATGTCTTAATAAAGTTAAAAAAAAATTGATTCTGCACATGGAGCTATAAACTAGACTTAGAGTACGCTCATCATCTTCACCCGATCATCCTGTCCATAAAATTTTGATTAATTGACTGACAAAAACGTTAATTCGATCGTAGTAAAAGGACAAACCATAGAGACAGACAAAGTCCACTATAGGATTTTGAGTACACTAATCTTTGATTTATTAAAATATTAATTCAACAGCCTTTTGAAAAAAACTGGCCTCAAAGAACAGTACAGATTTCGTGCACATTTCACTCAGATCGTTTAGATGTTGAACATGAATACGTTAACTCCATTTGCGTTTCTTTTACTCCTTGGGCTTGTCTTTGGCCATGGAAAGCCAGATGCCGACACTGAAAAGGAGCCTGTGATGACCAAGGAAGAAATTAAAAGTTTGAGACAAGCATTAAAAGAAGCCCGTGAAAAACCCCAGGTGCCATATGTACTGAAGGAACTTACCATTCCAGAAACTTTTGAAAATGGTGAAAAGCCAAAGATCTTTACAGATGAGGAGCTAGCTAAACATGACGGATCTAACGTAAGTTCTGTATTTACGTGTACATAAACAGTGAAGGATTTCTTTTCCGACTAACTCACATTACGAATGATTGGCGCATTACCAAACATATGGAACCACTTGGCTGAGTTCAAACTTCTCAGATTTTATCAGGTCAAATATATCATCCTTCACACTTCAAGGATATGATTATCTCAGATTTCTAAACTCAAAAAGAAAAATATCTACAATCTATACCAATTCCAAAGATATGTGTTTTCTAATTTCAACACAATTGATCAACACTGGATTTGGTTATTTACACTTTTATTACTTAAAGGCCCCATATAAAGTTTATCATTTCTGCTTAAATTATAGTCAAATGCTCTCAAATTTGAAACTTTAATTTTAAAAAGTTTATTTTGAAGGAGTTTGTTAAAAAGAAAAGTGAATATATTTCAAATGAAATTTTAGTTGTCACGCCCATACAGTACATTGTGAAATAATGATTTACACCAAGGCATAACCTGCATCCTAAAATTGGTTGAAAAATAAGCAAGGGGTTTAACTCATACTACACGTGCGGGAAAGTGGTCCAGAGAAAAAAGTACTTTAAAATGCTAGTTCTTCTTGAAACCATAAACATTTAAAATATAATTTAAGATTTAAGCTCTGGATTCAGTAGAATGTGTGCTGAATCATTCCACTGAAGGTGTTGTTTCCAAATCTTTGCATGAAATGAAACAGCCACAATGCATTGAGTCTTGGGCTTAAATTCTTTTCGCACATTGCAAAAATGAATATATTCTACAAAATCACTTAAAAGATACAAAATAACTAAAAGAACACATTTTCAATGAAACTTTTTGCAAGGATCAAGTTGGCAAAGCATCAATTTCAATCTCCTCACCTCGACAACCATACAAAAATGCTTTATTGGTTATAAAACGGAATGCGTGAAATAGCGTGTTCTGATTGGCTAGAATTGGACACACCTTGCCTAGCTGTGAATTGATAAAAACCTATTTTCAGAAATTCTTTTATTTTTTTAAAAATCTACATAGGTCCTAACATCATACGTTGAATAGTTGAAATAATAAAACGTTTGTCTGATCTATTCAATGAATTAGAGAAAACAATGTGTTAACGTTTGATGATCATAAAATCTTTTTTCTAAAACGTTTTTCTGTAAAATGGCGGGAAATCAGCTGGAAATTCTTTTTCAAAAGTCGTACTTTTCAAAATATCCACAAGTAAAATTTGAATGATTGAAATATATTTGCAAAATTTGTATGTGGCCTTTAAGGTAATGTTGTTTGATCCAAGATGACTCAATAATAAAAACATCCTTGATCCATTATATTTCAGCCTGACCTTCCCATACTGTTGGCTTGTAAAGGCGAGGTGTTTGATGTCACAGAAGGAAAAGGTACACACAGATCTATAATTATGATATCAAGGAGAATTCCCTCATATTAATACTTACAATAACAGCTCTCACGACACACTAATAGATAGCCTCAATAATGCTTCAATACAAACTGCAGGGCCGGGCGTAGCCAGCTTTCAGTCAGATGGGGAGGGGGGGATGCGATCGCCCAAAAAATCGGTTTTCAGTCAGGGGGAGTGCGATCGTGGCATAAGCGAGCCAAAAACGATTTGTTACGCTTATGAACTGAAGGACATATCGAATTAAAATTGAGAACATTTATTTGATTATCTAAATTTTTTTAATATGACCGGCAAGAGGACCACCTACAGCAACCAGTCGCAAAGTAATTATGAATAGAGGCAGGCTTGAATGTGGGTTTATCCTGAGACATTATCACGCCCGGTGATCGTACAAAATGTATGGAGGGGGGGGGGGGATTAGGCGATTTCTGCAAGAAAACTCAACAAATTTGGTAGGTTTAGTTTTTTAAGAGAAAATTTACAACTGAATTGCCAAATGAATAGGCACAGTGCATGGCAAAATATGTTAGGCCATCTAGTATTTTTTTGCACTGATACCCTTCAAAGATATGAGATCTATTAAAAAAGGCGCATCATCACCAAAGTGCAAAAGTCAATGTTTTTGCTATAAATCGGGCCACAATGGTCTACACAATCTGTAATAAATAGGTATAAGGGACATTATTATCACAATACTAATGACATTGCTCACTTTTTAAAGTTAGTTTCCATGCGTTATACAAAAAATAATCGAAATAAATTAATTTTGGATGGAGGGGGAGTGGATGGAGGGGGGGGGGATTAATATATCTTTACGATGGAACAAATTCACAAGAACTCGGGTATTTGAAAAAACTAAACTCAGTACCCCAGTAAGAAACTGGATATTATATCTCTGGAGAATGAAAAATGAGAAAAAATAAGAATAAATTCAAGTAGCATGTCTTATCATGTCTTACATACACGTGATCCCCCTCCATCCAATATTAATTTATTTCGATTATTTTTTGTATAACGCATGGAAACTAACTTTAAAAAGTGAGCAATGTCATAAGTATTGTGATAATAACGTCCCTTATACCTATTTATTACAGGTCGTGTAGACCATTGATGCCCGATTTTTAGCAAAAACATTGACTTTTGCACGTTGATGATGATGCGCCTTTTTTAATAGATCTCATATCTTAGAAGGGTATCAGTTCAAAAAAATACTAGATGACCTAACATATTTTGCCATGCACTGCGCCTATTCATTTGGCAATTCAGTTGTAAATTTTCTCATGAAAAAATAAATCTTCCTTTGTTGAGTTTTCTTGCAGAAATCGCCTAATCCCCCCTCCACCCGTTTTGTACGATCACCGGGCGTGATTATGGCATTTTGAATAGCATTGCCATCAACGTCAAAAAAGTTAACAATACGGTATAACAGTCTAAAGACTGCTGTACATTCATGGTACATACTGATTACAGGGACCAAATTCTTTTAGTTTATTGCTAATATTTGAGCTTTTTAATATGCTTATTGTAAACATATTATAGATTTCTATGGACCTGGTAACGCCTATAATGCATTGACAGGAAAGGACGCCTCCAGGGCAATAGCTATGATGAGCATCGACGAGGACGAAATGACGCCAGACTTGGTGAGTTTTAGAAATGCCAATGATAATGGTACCTCTCACACAATGTTTTAACATCCTAACTGGCCCTAGATGAGCATCTAGACTTATCAGGAAATATTGCAATTAGTTCACCAGAAATCAATGACATAACCTCTTTTAATAATACACCCCTTACTTTTTAATAGATATAGTCATAATTTGAACATTATGCATGAATTTGAAAACTTGACAAAATCACACTGGAATAGCCTGACAACGGTAAAGTCAGATACCGTTGTCACAAATGGCGGAGATAACCGTCGCTTCAATTCTTCAATCACTTGGTCATCGTTTCATGGGACTTTATCGTCATTAATTCTGTGCATGTATTAAGCTCTTGTGATAATGTATCATATGAAATCCCAATTTCGATCAAAAAGGGTCGTGAATCGCCACACTATAGGCCCTTCGATATCGTCAATGACAACGGAATCTGAATTTTTGGATAATTTACAAAGACAACAGCATATGGTACACTCCCCTCCATAAGTTTGGCAACCTTTTTTCCCCCATTGAACTACGTGTTAAAGCCTCTTTACCTTTGAATTTTTATTTACTTAACCTGCGATGGAAATACTTATACTATTGATGGAAACGTAATTTGACTTTAATTCAAATACCTCCAAATTTTCTCAATTTTTTTCCTCAATTACAATAGGTCGAAAATTGATGATAAATTTGATGAATTTTTGAAAATCGACATTCCCATGTTAACCAATGGGAAATGGTAGGTTTGCCGCAAGTCATATGACAGAATATCCATCCATCAGAGTCCTTGCAAAAAATACGAGTTAGGCAGGAAATTGAATTTGCTAACTTTATTTAACAAAACATTTATATGTTTCTTCAGGTACAACAAAGTTATAGAGCTTTACAGTCAAAATTGTTTTTCAAAAAACCTCTCCAATTGAAATAACACAGGAGGCGAAAAATTATTTTCAAAAATGACTTTGAAGCGCTGTAACTTTAATATTCATCAAATAAACTAAACACTTAGTGTTCAAAAAAGTTAGACAATTCAATTTTCTATATGAAAATTTTTTTTGCTGAATCTTTTACTGAAAAGATATCCTGATTTCTGATTTGCCCCGAACCCTTCATTTCCCATTGGATTACATGGGAATGACGATTTTCAAAAATTCATCAAATTTATCATCAATTTTCGACCTATTGTAATTGAGGAAAAAAATTGAGAAAATTTGGAGGTATTGGAAATAAAGTCAAGTTACGTTTCCATCAATATAATAAGTTATTCGATCGCCGGTTAAGTAAATAAAAATTCAAACGTAAAGAGGATTTAACACGAAGTTCAATGGGGGAAAAAGGTTGCCAAACTTATGGAGGGGAGTGTAAGTTATCTAAAATCCAGATTCCGTTGCCGTTGACGATATCGAAGACGCTATTGTGGCGATTTAAGACCGAAAATTTGATCGAAATTGAGATTTCATATGATATATTATCACAAGAGCTTAACAGTGAAAACAAATAAGTGTTAAAAATAGGCATTTTCATGTAATTGAACATAGCTGAAACAAAACGTATTTTTGCTCAACATTTTATGTATTCTAAAATAGAATGCCTTTATCTGAAGTACGTCAGCATACTTTTTGATCGTTTCGATTGTAAGTAGCGTTGATATCTGGCTCCAAAATTGTGAATTTCGGTGAAATTGTCAATGTAACAGGACAACACGCTTTTGAAAACATGTCATATCTCAATAATAAATGGTCGCATCTCTTAATTTTGGTTATGCTGGCATAGAGAACATTCATTCAGAGTGTGATGAGAGCACCGGATTTGATCTCCACCTATTACCGAATATATAGACTCAATAAAGTAAATGTAAAATTTATTCTGTGAAAATCGACATGGTCGTTAAAACACACCCACAGGGCATTAGGGGAATCCGAGAAAAATAGGTTATATGTGGTTAGCAAGTCCTTGATTCAGTTTATCAGACCATCGTATTCCAAATCGTGATAATAATTGTGATTGAATTATAATGAGCATTATCTGAACATTTCTGAAAATTCACCATTTTTCTTGTTAAAAACGACCAAGATGTAATTCGAACATGGGCAGCATTCTTGTGTAAAGATGGACACTATTCAAGAAAACATTATATCCACTCTATTTTAACGAAAAGATTTTACGAAATAACCAGCACGACCCCATCTATGAGCGAATATGGTGTGAAACTGTGACAATCGACATGCGTGAAAATCGACATGGTTATACCATTGAACTCAAAGCAGTATATTAGTCATTTGTATAAATCACAGATGGATTAATTTGACTTTATATGATTACCAATACTCTGATAACACATTTATAACAGTTTTACGGTAATTTACGCATAACGATCAATAGGATAGTTTCTAAATAGCAGAAAAATCAATGAAATCTCGTGCTGCCATCTTTTATTCAGCTTTTAACTCTGGCTAGAGCTCCATTTACTTACATGCTAAAATCTTGGAAAAGTGGCTTAATTTCATGATTTATCAAAGTGTGTTTGTTGAATCTGTATAAAACTTGAATGATATACCACATGATGACCCTGTTTATGAACATGTTGTGATTAAACATGCTAATGTTGATTGACATACAAATAATCCACGGTTTTAAAGAATTTTAGCATTGCATCTATGGACATTTGGCCCAACTTTTTTTAAATTGTCATAGAAAATTATTCAAATTACATAACTGTGTAAATCAAAGCTATTTTAGGAGAAAACATTCCACTGAATTCAAATATACCATTTAAAAGAAGGTAATGTAAGTCATTAGAGGTCTAATATGCAAGTCTCTTAAAATCTCACGAAAAACGAGATTTGGCGAGATTTCAAAAGCTATATGGAAACTATACTATTGATAGACATTGAAAAGATAACAGCTAAATGGTTTTCTCTTTGTTCAGCGTACCTTTTCCATTTTATACATCTTTACAAAAATACGTTACATGCAAGCAGATGTCAAGTTGTTTGGAACTTCCATAAGCATAATTTACCGAAAAAAAATTACTACAAAAATCACTATGAAGACCATTACAGCCCAAAATGTGTCAACCTCTGTAAATAGTGTTTCGTTCAGTGCATTCCCGGGGATTGCTGACTGCAATCATAAAGTCTATAATAAACGTTTGGAATCAGTTTCCTTTCAATGAATGCATCATTCTCAATGATGAATAGCACAAACAGGCATCTATAATTAGTAATATGAAAGATTTTATAGCTTTTCAACGATGTTTATTTGCTTATTATTTTTTAATTACGATCTCGGATCTACTACTCGATACATTATTACGATCTGATGTACAATATTCAGTATTCCTTCGTGAAACGTAATTCTTTGCAAAACATACAAAGAAAAACAAAAAGTAAGCAATGCTCGAGAATAAAAAAATCAAAAAAATCAAGACATGCGGTGCATAAAATTACGTTCCTCATTGAAAAATATCGCCAATTGAACTAGCATTATAGAAACATAAAGCACGAGATACGCATGCGACGATAGAGGCAACAAAAGCAAGATGATTTTTCCCCTCTTCGAAAAATAAAACCGGGGGTAGATCACTAAAAATATATAGACTTCAAGAGTGTCAAAGAAAAACAAAACATCAGAAGAAACAAGTTTGATAGCGAAAGTTATGAGATGCGAAATCAGAAATCCGAAAAAGGATCGAGTCTGACACGAAAGAAATGTGTTTCTTTAAAGCGGAAATTTTAGCGACTAAAACAAGAATCTCAGAATAAACCAAAGCATAGTAATAAAAACACTTCCAGTTGCCATGGAAAAAGGTTCTTGTGATAGGAACTTGGAGGGGGGGGGGGGTCATCGGCGAAACGCTCCGCAGATAATGGTGTCAAGAGAAACGTCTCTACACCAGTGCAGATGATTTTATGATTGAACTATACGTCATCCTTAATGGACTGGACTCGACATCAATATCATGTTTCAATTGATAACATAGACTCGAGTAGAATAAGGACCGGCTTCTTGATTTGGAATATGTTAAAGGGACATTTCAGATCATATCTCGATAGATGATGTTTGTACTCCAATATGACGTAAATGGTTGTCCTGTTGTGATACATGCAGGAAAAACGTCACTACGCCAACCTGCAACTGGTTTAAGCATGCATTAAAAGCTAAACCCAAACAAAAAATTATTCAAATTGTAAAAACAAGTCAAAGAACCATACCTGGTATGTGAGATAAAAAAGAAAACATATGCCAACGGTGTCAAAAAATTATTTTGACGACATGGCATCTGTCATCCCATTGTCATTCAGTCTAAAAATGTAAATCTTGGTTTCATGAATCAGTGCGATGTTTTGGTAAAGTTGGTGTGAAAAGAATGTAGAAAAGATGTGTTCAGTGCATATAAATTTGGCGGGCGTAATACGTACATGTACATATACTTAGTTTATTCTCTTTGACGATATTTTAGAATAAAATGTGAAACACGACAGGGTTTTGACGGAAAATTGTACATAAACGTGGTCATATTTGGTTACAAATACACACTGGTTGTTTCTCTGTTCAGCTTGTTCTATCCTACATATCAAAAATGTCGATTCGTTAAGTTAGCGGTCCCTAAAGTGAACTTTTTAACTCATTGTCATTTGTTTTTAATTGTCTTGTGAAAATCGACATGCGGATGAATAGTGAACTAGCCTAATGATCAATTCTTCCCAAATAAAACTGTTATCATTTTCTTATCGTCTTAAGCATCATTTTTCATGATCGCATCAATTCATGTTTCAATAGAGTCGACTCTTTCAATTTTATTCAAATGAAAAACAAAGGGGAAGTTAAAAATTGAGAAAAACGATAGATTTTATTGGTTCATGTTGACAAAGTGATGCACGTCAAAAAGAAAAAGCTTGTAGTCCAAATCCACTTGCGATTTTAAAGGCAGTTTAGTACCATGAGGAACGTTCTTGTTTTTTTGAAAATGATGCATTCTAATTTGAATAGCTTGACACATTAATCAGGGGGTCAAGGTGTGAAAATCGACATGTTTGAGACGGACCCTAATTTCAATTTGAAAATTCGCCTATTTTTCCTTGGAGTTTACTTCAATGCCTTGGGTAACGAATGTACAAATGTATGAAGATATATACTATATATCTATTTGAAAAAAACATTTTAGGATTTTTTTCACTTTTTAACAAAATTAATTTTACACTTAAGCGGTTTTGAGTGTTAATACATGCACAAACGTAGCGACGATAAAGTCCCATGAAACGAGGACCAAGTGATTGAAGAGTTGAAGCGACGGTTATGTTCGCCATTTGTGACAACGGTATCTGACTTTACCGTTATCAGGCTATTCCGGTGTGAAAATGGCTAATTATCACGGCCATATAAGTAATTTGTCTCCTAAATCCAAGGAGGATTGGCTCCCGGAATGCAACATCGATATTCTGTCCCATATATGGTACAGTATGGTGACCTCTAACCTTATTTACACGTGACATGTCTCTGAAACCTGTTATGGAATTAAGGTTAAAGGTCATCATACCATATATGGGACAGAATATCGATGCTGCATTCCGGGAGCCAATCCTCCTGGTCCTAAATTGAAAAATGGTCGCTTTTCAAACCCATTCTTTTAAATCAGTGTATTCCTTCAGACATGATGGATCAAGATGATCTAAACCTAGAGTTGAGTCTTGTTTCTGATATTTTCAGTCTGGATTGACCAATGCGCAGCTAGAGATGCTTGATATATTCTGGGAGGGCACCTACAAATCCAAGTATCCCAGTGTCGGATTTACACAAAGACTATATGATGAAATTCAACAGAAGAAAAAGGATGAATTATAAGTCATTTGAACATTGTCAAAATATACCATCATAATGGTATATTAAATACTTGTTAACGATAACACTATCTTTGTTTGTCATTATTAGATTAACAAGACCAAAGCAATGCACTATATTTTGGGTAATCTCCATTTTAAAGTCAGAACCGCTTTCTCTATGATAATTGCAAAACGTACTAGACAACTTTAAATAGAACTCTTGATCAGCGCCATCTATTGACGATCTTGAAGGCCATTAAAACTATTGACATTTTACCTTTCTCTAAATTTCCTTTAGAAGGAACACCCAAGTATTGGCATCAATCAATGACATTCATTGATATTGTTATAATAATTTGTGGAGAGGCGTTTTCCCGCAAAATCAGTTTATTTAATTTAATAATAATAAAATGCCCATTAAATCATTAATGGTGGCTGGCACAAGTGAAAAATCCTATTAGTAGATTGTTGAACTTCAATTTATGATCGCCAATATTACTGGAGGTTAATGATGAAGTTTAATAAGGAGTTTTAACAAAAATGAATATCCTGGTTTTATTATTGTTTGCTCATTATTGGTGTTGCTACACTTCCATAAATGTACTTAAATGTTATGTTCTTTACACCATGCCTCTTCCTGTACAAATATGGTTATAGCAATTAAAGTACTTTTAATATATAAATTGGTGTAAATACGTTTGACATTAGAAATGGTATTTAGAATACAACTTTCGTAGGGACACGGAATTTTGGATACATACACTTGTTGACGCAGTGCCACGAACTAAACATGATTTCAATAGTAAATCTACTGTTCTTCGGGCTATTTCTGGATAAATCAGTCCCATCATTAGCTGCATTGGGACACGGACACGGAGCAGGAGGGAGCGGCGGAGGAATATGTGGGATTTCCCATTATGGTCAGACTGCATTTGAAAAGTATATGTGTTATTATCTAGTTACCTACCCCCTATTGGCACCAGTACCGCCGCCACCTGAAGAAGGTGCCAGAGGCCTTAGAGGTCTTGGGACAGGTAGACGCGGGCGAGGACGACGAAGGGGGAAAAGAAGCGCCTCATACAGGCCACATAATGATATGTACATGCAAACAGAAAAGGGACATATAAGGATAAAACCTGGATATGTTGCCCAGATTGACAGATACCCTGCCCCTAAAAAGGACCATTATCCTCCAAAGAAGCCACAGAAAGAAACAGAGACGGTGATTATTTACCCAAAAGTGATGATGAAGATGAGCCCCCCAAAATATATGCCTCATCCACCTAAGTACATGCCCCATCCTCCACCTAAGTATATGCCCCATCCACGGCCAATGTACCCTCCAAAACAGATGTATCTTCCTCCCCAACCGAAATATCCCCCACCCCAACCTAGGTATCCACAGCCTCAACCAAAATATCCTCCTCCTAAACCTATGTATCCTCCTCCCCAACCAAAATATCCTCCCCCTCAACCAAAATATCCCCCTCCTAAACCTATGTATCCTCCTCCCCAACCAAAATATCCTCCCCCTCAACCAAAATACCCTCCCCCACAGCCAAAATACCCTCCTCCTCAACCAAAATACCCCCCTCCACAGCCAAAATACCCTCCTCCACAACCAAAATATCCCCCTCCACAGCCAAAATACCCTCCTCCACAGCCAAAATACCCTCATCCGCAGCCAAAATACCCTCCTCCACAGCCAAAATACCCTCCTCCACAGCCAAAATATCCCCCTCCACAGCCTAAATATCCCCCTCCACAGCCAAAATATCCCCCTCCACAGCCTCAATATCCCCCTCCACAGCCTAAATATCCACCACCTCCTCCCGAACAGAAATATGTGTTAGTTCCTGTCAAACAAGAGCCAAAATACCCTCCTCCTCAACCCATGTACCCTCCACCTCCAGATCCCCATAAGCCTCCACCACATCCACAACCTAAATACCCTCCTCCTCAACCAAAATACCCACCAGCGAAAGAGGAGAAAAAGGATCCCAGGAAATTCTATCACTTCACTGTTCATGGATACTATGATGCGGAGGATCAAGGGGATCCAAAATATCAGAGGTACAACAACTACCATCACAATGGGAAATATAACCACCATTCCAAAGGCGGTGGCTCAAAATGTGGACAGTCTGGTATCTATAAAGGTATGCCATTACCTCATAAGAACTAGCTTTTGTAGAGTTTAATTTTTTCTCCGTCGGTAGACTTCTTTGGTGACCTTAACGTTCTGGATAGCGAAAACAATGGGGGTGTTGCTTTGTTTAATTTTAATTTCATAAGAAATTGTTTGAATTTTTCTGTGCAATCCTTTTTTCATGGTTGAGTTACTAAAACCCCTACTTTGTTTTAGGATTCTGCCAGGCCAAGTACCCTGGACATTACAAACACAGGAAACCTGGCTGCTACATACAGTGTGATGGGTTTGGTAATACACATATAAAACCTTGTGCAATAGGGACAGAATGGACTGGGGGTCACGGTCCTACATTGTTTAATCCCTGTATGCGGAAACATTAGCAAATGAGCACCAGAACAGAGATCACTTGATGTTCCAGTTCCTATACTAATTACAGAATACGAAATATCAAGGTTGTATATACTGTACATGTTTAGCCAAATGTATATAAAAGTATTCTTTTCTTCTACGTTTTTTATTCTATATTCGTTGCACTTCCCCAAGACGTTTTTTTCTTTTTTGCCTTTAAACATAATATCCAAAGCAATTTGTATGAAGAATCTAATTAAAGATTGTTATAAATATATCAAGAGCTAATTTATACAAATTGACTTCTCTTTGAGGAAAATATCAAATAAAAGTCAATTACATTTTAAAAATCAGTTTTTGTTTAATTTTTCACTTTGCTCAATCCAAAATTAGGGGCTTAGGGAATTAACATGACAAAAATTAATGTCACCACCTTTCGATGGTCATTGAAGGTCAACCATAGGTCCATTCTCAGACAATTGTGTAGATGATTTTGAAAAAAGTTGAAAAAATACCTTTTTGACCTTGAGAAGGTCATTGATGGTCAAATCTCAAATCTAAAGTCAGAATTGAACTTCTGAGAGCTTCAATTGTCTGAACAGTACATGTTAAGTTATTGGAAGTTTGTAGGACTTTGTTACAAGAATTTTGTTACATACGCCGACAACCGTCCACAAAAAGTTGGAGACCAAAACAACACGTCACCTTGGTGGTGACATAAAAACTTTACCCTCGGTAAATACAATATATCAACCCTCGGTCCCTACGGTCCCTCGGGTAGATATATTGTATTTCCCTCAGATATACCCTGTATCAAAAACCTCCAATTAAATAACCTCTATATATTAAGAATCAGAATAACTGTACAAACGATATAAGTATAATTATAGCAACTACAATTGGGACTACAATACATGTACATACAAGGGTCGTTCGAAAAGTTTTGCACGAATGTTTCTCAAGGGAAGAGATTTTATTATTTTTACATGAAATTTCTTACATATATAGTTTCACATATCTTACATTCATATCGGTCAATCTTAGTCTTTGAACAGTTAGTCAGGTTATGTTATAATTGATTTATAATGAATCAAAATATAGAGTTCTTGTGTAGTCTTCCGTTGCAATAATGCATTACTTTTAGCATTCTGTCCAGTCTTTGAGACCATGTCTGAAAACTCCTACCTATAGGATGTCAAGCCTTCTGATAACTTCATCTACCTTCAATACATTTTCCTTTGTCTAATTCCATCTTGGAATACTTAGCAACGCATATAGAAGTCAACGTATGCAATGTCTTAATGCATGCATGAATTTGACTTGTGTTCAAGATGTTTGAAGAGTATATTTACGGCCATTCTTTGGCATTACCAAAGAAAACAAGATGAGAAATATTGATATAAGATTCATTTTTTGCCATGAAAACAATACTAAATATTGCTTAGATTTATAAGTTGATAGTTTATATAAGTGTATTACATACCAAGCGAAGCATTTGTATTGAAGTCAATGGAGCTGAAGGTCGGCTATATATTCCTGTAGAGCCGCCAAACCTTTTACCATGACAATCTTATGACGTCATCGGGACGTCATGTTTCATTTCTTCATACTTTCACTCGCACACAGACACGTGGCGTCATTGATATAACCTTCGGTCTGTCGTAATATAACCCTCGCAAGCTCGGGCTATATTGGTGACAGACCTCAGGCATATATTCAATGATAGGGACATAACTGCTAAGAATTCGGGCATGTTGAATGATATTGTAGTTTATATATCACTTGTTTGCTCTTTAAAAATGACATGGACCGTGCCGCCATCACCTTGGTTACCATAGCAACCGTAAAATGTTAAGTACTAATCATATATACATGAAAACTTAACAGTGTAAGGTAATAAGATGGGGGCACATACTTAGCAAATATGAACAAGATTGGTTCATTATTTTCATATTTATATATATCTGTGCAAAACTTTTTGAGCAACCCTTGTATAATTCAGCGATAATATTAGTGTGAGAAGTCGTTGAAATTCTTTTACTTAAACTTGCAACCATTCTGACGTGAACTGGCATTTTTTCTCTAATAAAAAATAATTTTTTGTCTATCAAAGTTCAGTTTTTCAAATATCACATCGGATGCTTTATAAGTCAATCGATAGTCTACAACCGGATAGTGACAGATACAATGTCGAGTCAATGCTCAAAACAACAAAATGTTTACACTTAATTAGGTAACTCCACAAAGAAAGAACATTCCGAGGAACTCTCACTTTATACGAAGGTTAATTAAGACTGGGAGCAAAAAACAGTCATACCGGGTGCGTATGTACTTTCAATTTGCCACATGAACTAACAATTTGTCAGATATGAACCGACCTATGATAACTAATGACGACATCTACTACATCACTGACAATGATAAACTGATAATGTTCCCAATAAACTGATAAAAGGCTAAAGATATCCAGTCAACAGAAAATAGGTAACGTGTACCTGCCCATGATGAAGCTGGTGTTGCTGATTGGATTCGCCCTGTTGGCAACTGCTTTTGCTGAGGTAAATTATAATTCTTTAGGCTATTGGTCGTTTTACCATTAGTTCATTTGGTCGCAGTATGGTCCTTCAGTTCTTATGAATGGCACATTTTTTGACAAGAATTTTCCCAGCAACTGCTGAACAAAATTCAATGAAAATTTCTACAAATTCGTCGAAGAGTATCATTAGCAAGCTTTAAAAATATTTAAAAGATCAAATAAATATTCTGTGAGTACTAAGAAATTCAAAATAGCATGTCAAAAATGCCCATACCACCGGAGCTCTTCGGTTCAAATAGCTTTCTGTGTGTCATGTCTTATTATTTCTTCCCAAATATCCCAAATCCAATTCACTCTCAAAATTCATTGGAGTCGATATTGTTAGAATAAATATATAAAAGTATTTTTGCTTAGAAATGGACTTTTACATTGATATTTGGTATTTTGACCATATGCTTTCAAGATCTTACATATTCATAGCACTTGCAGAAGATATCCTTAAGTGCCTCAAGTAAAGTTTTCCAAGAATTTGGCTCATCTATTGCTGAGAAATTACTTGGCAAACTGCTTTCCATTTTTGGGTTTAGACGCTATGTAATTTTTGCGTTGCTCCGGTGTGGAATCTTTTGACATTTTGAATTTCTTAGTTAACATTTACTTTATCTTTTTCATATTCTGTACCTTGCTAAAGATACTCCTGGGCTATTTTCAGTGAATTATTTGGTTCATCAGTTGCCGAGAAATATTTGTCAAAAAGTGTCTCATTTTTGGGACACCCGGTATATTCATTTCATTGCATTCGGGTATTTGGGATTTGTTTTAGTTGTGCGTAAATTATGCGAATAACATCACCAGGACTCCTATACTTCCATCAACGCGAACATCAGTTCTGACGTCGCGAACTACGTTCCTCGCACTCAAACCACGATTCTCACATCGCGAACGTAAAATCGTTAGTCGCGCACCACTATCTCCTCGCTCCCGAACACATTTCTACACTCGCGCACAGCGATCCGTGCTCTCTGTGTGCGAGTGGAGAAGTGGAGTGCAAGGAACGTAGTTCGCTAGGTCAGAACTGATGTTCGCGTTGGTGAAAGTCTATGAGGCGTAGATACTATCAGACATAACACATGCATTATGAGAAATCATGGCCATCTATAAGCTTCTCTTCTAGTTGAAGGTGGAAAGATGTGATGAGTATCAGAATGTAACATATTTGTCTCATGGATTGCATTGTTAAATATTTGTTCAATAACTGAGTATGTGTCACGCTACTAACAGGTGTTTAAATACTCAGTCTAGATATTGAATCGTCACAAACGAAATGTTTATTGATCGTGGTAGGGGGTATTAATGAATTGTTTTTATTATTATTCTAGACTTTAGAACGCCAAGAGGATGAGATACTCGAGCGGAAGTTGATGGCACTGAAGCAAGAAGCGGAGGAAGCCAAGGCTAACAGAAAGATTAAGCAATGGAGAGAAACAAACGCAGCCAGGATCAACAGTATGGTTCATTGATCTCTGTTATGCTAATGCAAGATGTAAAATATAGTTCCATTTTAGATAAGGGCATTGCACAAAATTTGTCCAATATTTCACTGCGCATGCGCAGAACCATTACTTCCGGTTTTCCAAAGCCTATGGGATTTATAATGGAGACATTTTTCGAACACTTACTGTGCGAATGATATTGATTTGTCACCTTAGTCATCTCAGGTTTCTATAACTAGACATCAACCTTTACTGATTTAACATGTTTTAAGCAATGTACACATGCACACTTTTCGGCCAATTTGTTTTGAAAAAATCATGAGGAATTCATGCATGACTCCATTGAAATCCATTAGAAATGGCGTCAAAATGGTGAAATGAGGATATTCAACGGTCTGGTAGAGGTACTTAAAATCATATGGTATCTTAGTCATCTCAGGTTTCTGTAACTTTGAAGGTAGATCTGTTTGATTCCGTTGGGATTAGAATCCTCATACCTTTAACTTTTCGGCCAATTTCAAACAAAATATGATAACTTTTGGTGATATAACTGGTTCATTACCATACCTGCCAACCTAAGACCAAAATTTTGCGGAAAATTTGGAAAAAATGCGGTAGTTTTACGGTAGATTTTGAAAATTGCAGTAGTTTCTACGGTAATTTTTTGAGAAACCGGTACTCTTGCGGAAGATTTTGAAAAAATGCGGTAGTTTTACGGTAGATTTTGAAAATTGCAGTAGTTTTTACGGTAATTTTTTGAAAAACTGGTACTCTTGCGGAAGATTCGCCAAAATGCGGTATTTTTCGGTAGATTTTGAAAAATGCGGTAGTTAAACCTTTATACAATGCGGTTTTCTATATTAATACAATGTTTACGTGGTCATATTGTTGTTGTTATTGTGAATACATATTTTACTGCAAGAGTTCTTTTGATAATTACAGTTTGTAAAGCAGAACTACCACCTGAATACGAAACTATTATTTTCAAGAAAAAATAGATATACTATTTTCAAGAATAAATAGAGACTAAACACTTTTTATTCTTCATTTACCATGCCTAAAATGGACTGACAGCAACTTTGGATTTTAATGTTTCAGCAAAATGTACATGTATATGAATACAACTCTTTTACAACTCTTTTACAATAAATCTAGATTGATTCAAAATACGAACACAATATTCATATCTCCACTTTTATTCACCTTCTAACCAGTTTTTTTTAGATATCAGGATGTTTGGAAATACCATGAATGAAACATTTACTGAAATACAAAATATGGATTTTACACGTTTTTACTCACCATCTTAGATGATCTATCACTTTAACGAATTGAAATGACAGACATAATGTTCATATAACATTGGAATCATATGGTATTAAATATTGATTTGTTCACTCGCAAGTCTCTAATGATATCAATGTGTTTGTCTGGCACAAATAGAAAATAAGTACAGATCAATTGTCTTTCAAAAATAATCTGTTATGAGCATTTGCTGAAACCTTTCCCCCGAGACATCGTTCAGATTCGGATATCACAATACTCTTATAATAAACCAGAACTCAATGCTTTTTTTTAAATTATGTATTTGTTACTGATATAATCACGCCGGTACTAACTCACCGGGGCGTATCGAAACCAAAACGCCCCGCAAAACCGTTAATTTGAATTTCAAATGTACCCTGTCTTTGGAAAATCAATGATTGTGAGTCTCACACTACACCGTTTTTCTTCAAACTTGTTCCATTAAAACCTTCACAAAAATACCTTTCAGTCGAGACATTGCTTTTGTTTACAAAGTCCCTCGTTTTAGCGGCGTTTTGGTCCCCAGATGTGAGAAGTTGCAAAGTCCTCAGAGATTTCAACCACAATCCTCGATATCTCGCCAGTTCTTCTATCACTCTCCCCCATATTCTACGCAGGGACTCCCATTACAAGCCTCCATCGCTGCATCAACATGTTTATTACATGAAACGCAGCAATTCTGAAAAGTCCTACCCAACTGATCGAAATTGACCAAAACGCCCCGTTGTCTTCTAAAACGCCCCGCAGAGTCTATGACTACAAACGTGTAGTTTCAAGGTGTATAGATCCAACGGGGCGTTTTGGAAGAGAACGGGGCGTTTGTTGATCAATTTCGAACAGATGCGTAGGACTTTTGGAAATTGCTGCGTTTAAAGGCCCCATGTAAAGTTTAAACCACTTTGGCTTATATTGTAGTCTTACCCAATGTTATCAAAGTGTGATATGTGAAACTTTTTTTTTAAATTTCAAAAAGTGGATTTTGATAGACTTTTTGTTCCAAAATTTGTGAATTTATTTAAAACCAACTTTTAGAGGTAACTCATATCTTCTAATTAGCCACAATTCATACCAATGCATAGCATTCATCCTCCCATGTTTTTTGCCGAAAAAATTAAGAAAATCGGTTGATAAACAAGCGAGAAATGAACTTATCAGTGCATGAAAATGGTTCTGAGAAAAATGCATTTCAAAATTTCAGTTCTCATAGAAACCAATGGTACAATGATATCTAAAACATAATTTATTCTTTCTTTTAACCTGGTTAGACAATCAACATTGTTTTTTTATGAAAGTCTAGCATATTAAGAAAAGATTGACAAAAAGTTTTTGTTACCTTAGTGACATCACTAATGTATTAAAATATTTTTGATAAGCTAAAACATTGAAGTGGCCCATTAAATATGACATTTTATTATTGAAATAGTGTGTCTTTTGTTGAATCTTTGCATTGGTGTTAAAAAGATAATCTTTTTTGAAATGCATTAAGAAATATTTGATGATTAAGAAATTTCAACTTTTTTTGAAAAATGGCGGGAAATTTGAATATTTGAGAAATGAAATGCTCACAACCTTTTTTTCAAAAATTTTTTTTTGTTCAAAAATCTCTAAAATCACTTTTTAAGTCCTGACAAATAGTAAATGAATGATAAAAAAATATTTTCAAACTTTAGACGGGGACTTTAATGTAAAAATATATGTTGATGCAGAGATGGAGGGTTGTAATGGGAGTCCTTGTGCAAAATATAGGGGAGAATATTGAAAGAACTGGCGATATATCGAGGCTTTTGGTTGAAATCTCTGAAGATTTGCATCTTCTTAAATCTGGGGACCAAAACGCCGCTAAAACGAGCGACTCTGTACACAAAATCAATGTACCGAGTGAAAGGTATTTCAGTGAAGGTTTTAATGGAACAAGTTTGAAGAAAAACGGTGTACTGTGAGACTCACAATCATTGATTTTCCAAAGAAAGGGTAGGTTTAAAATTCAAATTAACGATTTTGCGGGGCGTTTTGGTTTCGATACGCCCCGGTGAGTTAGTACCGCGTGATAATGTGTTCTGATAAATAATACAACATTTTATCGTACTGTAAACAAATTGATTAAACTATGTATAATGTATATGTGGCGTTCATTACTGATCATAACAAATCAAACTACGCATATTTCATACGCATTTCCACTCATTTATTTAGATGAAGCGCAACTAAAATCATATTTTTGTTGCATTCGGAATAAAGATCTGTGTACAAAAGGGTTTGGTTAACTACAAAAATCATGGCAGATTGAAAGAATTCTTTCTAGCTAGTGGTAGTTGGTGTTTGGACTGATTACACGCAAGCTTACTTAGATAAATACGCAATAACCTGATAACCACAGACCTGCCGATACCTATTTATATTTGGGTTGGTGAAGGAATATTACAGAGACAGTACAGGAAGACTTCAATTTGTCAGCATTTCCCAACAATAACGGGAAATTTTACGGTAGTTTGAACAAAAATACTGTTGATTTTAGCAGAAATACGGTAGATTTTCGAAAATTTACGGTAGATTTTCAAAAATTTACGGTAGATTTTACGGCCGTTCTCATGGAATAAACGAGTTTTTTAAAAAGAAAATTTACGGTAGATTACGAAAAAATTACGGTAGATTTTTTTACGGGCGTTTTTACGGGAAAAAAATGGTATTTTTTTACGGTAGTTTGTCATTTTTTTACGGAAAAACGAAAAATTTACGGTAGATTCCCGTAAAAATACGGTAGGTTGGCAGGTATGATTACATTGGAATGACGTCAAAATAAAATAAGACAATCTCAGTTTCTATGCCACTGACGTCATGACGTCAGATTTATCTTAAGATCTCAAATATGACGTCATGTTTAATCAATGAATGACATCTATCGGCTATTCGACCAATTCTGTGCAATGGGGCTTTGCCTCGCTTTAATTTGTTCTTCATGGTCCAATCCTCCCTCCCAGTAAAATAGATATTGACGAAATGCAGGCGCAGCTAGGCGTATACACTCTTGTGCTTGTATGTTAATGTAAACTATGAGACAGAGAGAATAGATAAAAAATAAATTTCTAAGTGGAGTATCGTGTTTCGTGTTTTGATATCAGGATATCGTGTGCCTAATAATGTCAGTCTTGAATATCACTCCTGAGAGTACACTCCCTTCCAAAAGTTTGGCAAAATGAAGTTTTCGTAGGATAGCACGTCAACGCATTTGGATCTTATTTTTGTTCCTGAATTATAATAATAGTTCGGAAAATTATCGATTCTTAAACGTCTTCAAACATAAACAGATTGATAAATGATTAAAAAGAGACTTCCAGTTACCAAGCTTATGGAGGGGAGTGTATAATACGTACATGATATAGTGAGAGCTTATTTTCTTTTATTACCCCATCATGCACCATAATAACTACAGTAATAACTAAAGCTAATAACTATTGGGGATTTTGTACGTGAACCATCATATAGGTATGTTATTTACATCTGTTTAAGGCATCATGCAGGAGACTAGAGAAGCTTGGGCATCAGCTGGTGAAAGGGTATGGAAGATATGTAGTTTGTCACACAATCTTATCTCATCTTGGTTCACAATTGTTCCAACCTCAGGTATAATTTGTTCAGATGATAAAGTGACATAAGTTCATCGCACTGGACAAAAAAGTGAAATCCACTCAGTCGCAAAACAATGACAGTGATTTCTTATTTCTCTCAATCGATCTGTCCTAAGTGGTTCTGTCATTATTAAGTTATTTATGTTGAACATTCATATTTGAGCTCATTTAACGAGTCGATCGAGTATTTAGAGGCACGGTGGCATTAAAGTTAGTTTGTATGATTCTGACTTGATGCATGGTCGCTTCCAAAGAATAAAGCCCCACGAAAAGCAATATTTGATATTACTGTATTCTCTAGTCTTTAGACATGGCTGAAGGACAAACAAAACTTGGAATAAGATAGGAATATGTTTGGCAAAGTCTATTAGAAAGTAATAAGGATTACGTTTTTCGATCCTAAGTAGGATGATTGAAAAACGTAATCTATATTACATTTTGTGTTAATTGTAACTTCGCAGTTATGTTGTTAATGTTTTCATTACAATTCCCTGGCCCAGAATAAATCAGAATTAATGGGGACGTTTTTAGATGACCATAAATCATCTATATGGAATGCAAGAGCTGAGATTCAACTGGAAGACTAATAATGCCACCGTTCGTGTTTTGTCATGAAGGATTCATTACACGACCAGTTGCGTGTTAAAGTGTGATCTCGTATATCCCTATTGTTCACTTGGATGTCTTACCATTCCTGTCTAAAATGACATTGTCAAAATCAATCAGAGTTAAATGCAAACATTTTCACCTAGATTCTGGTTGATGAGTTTGGACCCGAGACTGGTGATTTTGTCTTCAGCTTCTTGAGAAGCACTAACAGGAAACAATTTATTGTGGATAATGCAGACCGGTTCGAAAGTGAGTAAATCACAATTATCACGCAATAAACACTAATAACTCCAATTATGTTCTGCTATGGAATTATTACCTACTGGTGATATTTATTAACTTGCCGTGAAAAATGTCGTCTTTAATAAAATCAAAGTTATTCCTTTATCTTTGAGCAATCATTTGCTAAATGAGCTGATATTGAAACACCTGCAATTAGGAAAGCGCATCTTAACAATTACTCTCCAGTCTTCATTACTGACAGTCTGAGACATCATGACCTCCAATTATTTTTTTCTAAAACTAATTGCAAAAATGAATGTTTGTATAAGAACGTATTCATCTCACTTACTGCCCTCTTCTTTTTAGGACTGCCCAAAAGACTCCAAACTAAACTGGCCCTAAGTACAATGTCACCCGAGGATCGAGAAAGATGGAAAATCGGCAACATCAAGGGATTATAAAAAGCGAATAAATGTATCTGATTTACGAGTTTTAATAAATTATGTTTTAAGAACATTTAAGAAGATTTTCTTGCCGTAACATTAATGTGAACAATGTTTTAATTCATAAATGGAATACAGTTGTGCTGATATTAACATAAGCTGAGGGGGTCTTTTGATAAGTAAAGTGTAATTTTTCACAGTCCACAGTGAATTTGCATAAGAAATAATGTCTTAATTGATTAATTACCCATATTACCCATAAATGGCCGAAGATAGGTAATTCGAAAACGTTTGTTTTTATCCAACAAATTATGGCATTCATTAAACTTTAAGTAACAACAAACATTTCTCATTTGATCTGCATAGAAATTTTATTAAGTGGTCGAACACATTCATTGATGCGATAAACGATGCCTTGTGATGATGCATGCATTTGTTACACATTCTTTATAAGTTTTGCTTATCGTAAATGTATGAAATTAGTCATTTTCTCGTGGTTTTAATTGTTTAATTTTACTTTTTTGTCACTCGATCTCATTGCTGAATCATGCTAGAAATTTAACATTTCACGGTTTTTATCCCATAATTAGGATGTCATTTTTATCATAAATTGTTGCATATGATTTCGTAGCCTTTTAGGGTAATCTTAACGAGGCGTAACTGAGTGGCTTCACGAAAAAATAAACAGCATTATAAGCCATCTTATAGTCCATGGTATGACTTCCGAATTTGAAGGATCCGTAGCACACTATAGCGCAGCAACATTTGAAGCAATATTTATGGAGGTGCATATGTCTTGATTCTTTTAAAATACCATTTGCTGAAAAAACTTCCGGCTTTCGGGTCGAAAAATGTCTTTCATCACAAGGGGTCCAAAAACGTAAATATTTTGATTCGAACTTTTATACATTTTATAAGACTCTGACCATTATTCTAAGCATACGAACAAAAAATAGATTATCGTAATGTAAAAATATACTTTAATTTTACTGTGGATGTAGGTGTTTAATTAGTGTAATTACGCAAGTGTGTTTTTCAGATTTTGTCTGATTTTTCAAATATGAGCCAAGCAGATTCAACAAAATTGTGTGGAATATTTAGGTAATTTATGATTGGGAATATCTTAGTTTTCTTACCATTTAAAACATTTTATTATCAGATGTTTTCCAAATAATCGCAAAGGGTCAAACAACAAATTATTGTTCATGTTTTATAGAACATAATACAATAATAAATAGGTAAGATTTATATCAAATTAAATGTTACAGAGGTATTGGAATGTTCATATATTCCAAGGACATGTCTAATAATCAATTAGAGTTATATGCAATCGAACGCCTTATAATTCTTCCTCGACGTTAATGCTGGCTATCATCAAGTTTTTTTTATGGTTGCTTCTTCTTTGACCTTACCGCTGGATATAAGCAGATTTTAGGAAGATAATGATAACCATTTTTCTCAACTATTCAGGATTTCGACCAAGTCTTGGTGTTCTTTTATAAGCAACTGAGCTATATCTAACTACGAGAAACATAATTTCCAGCTGTAGTCCCAATTAGTCAAGGAAGAGCAATAGGCTCTCCTTTATTTTTAATGTTCACCGCTGAATAAAAGTCAATGTCTCAAAACGTATTGAGACCAATTTTGTGAAAATCTAACATAATTTAAGCATTTGTCATTCTAATATAATAGTGATTAATTTCTAGCATTAATCTTATTAATACCTGAGAAACAATACAAAACGTCGATGCACTGGTTACATAATGTTTTGGTATTGATAAGAAAAATAACCTCAAACGTATAGCTTAGAAACCTAGATCATATATTTAAAATATTTTTGTATTATTTGCTGTTGCATTGTGTTCTCCAAACTGTGAAAAATTGGGATTTTATTTTTTGGTAATTTTTTGACCTCTGTTAATGGCAGGCATAATTCACCCCAAAAGCCGGAAGTATATTAAATGGTTATAATAAAAATTATTAGGGAACATATGTAGGTATGTTAATGTTGGGTCAAATATCGCTGCGCTATAGTGTGCTACCATCTCCTTTATTAGACGTCCTAGATATTTCATACCATGGACTATTAAACTCATTTTACAAAGCGCATTTACGCTATACTGTACACTCCCTTCCATAAGTTTGGCAACCCCAACTCACTCATTGAACTGCGTATAAGCCTCTATATGTTTGAATTTTATTTACATATCCAGCAATGCAAATACTTATAATAAAGGTGAAAATGTAACGTGACTTCATTTCCAATGCCTCTAAATTTTCATGTAATCCAAAGGGGAGTTAGGGTTGCCAAACTTATGGAGGGGAGTGTACGTATCCGTAGCAGACACACGGATAGGATTAGGTATACGTGTATTTTTACGCAAATATTTAGCTTAACCATAAGCAAAAGTATGTAGTATATTACTTTTTATTTCGAATAATCTAATGGCACGTGTACATCCTTGATGTACTCGATACTTTATCATCGAAAATAGAAATGTATTCGATTTTTTTCGAATCGAATATACACTGGCATGGTATGGAATCCGAATATGGAATCCAATTTGAATTCGGGAATAAAAGATACATACATACATAATTAGTAGCTTTATTTCAAAAACAATATAAATACACAAGAAACATATTACTATTATATTGTATTTCGATGAGAACTGAACAGATAACCATCTCCAGGTATATGTATATGCATTTCCTAAATTACAATCGAAAGCCTTGAGATACAATATAGATATGCAATAGGTTGATGTAATTAAGGTGATCAGGAATCATCTCTGCAGAGAGTTACATTCAATATATAAGCACAAGGGAAGGGTGACTAAAAACTTTAATGAAACCCAACAAGAAAAGCAAACTGTAAGTGTAAATCTGTCATTAGAAAAGTAGCATATCTAACGTGAAAAATTCATGTATTTATTGGGTAACTCAAGTCCTTCCAACTTGGAGCTGCACAAGCCATCTGAATATCGATGTAATTACACGTCGCCTAATTATACTCCTCAAAAAAATTAAGGACCAGTAGTGGTTTTCTTCATAGGTTTACATGTTAACCCCCATATTTGTTTGAACGACTATTGTCAAGGCATGAAAATCTGATAAAGTAAATAAATCTGTATTTTGATTCTATTCTCTATAAAGTCTGCAAAATTCAATGTTATATCTCCATTATGATGTCAAAATGGTTGGGTTGCCATAAATCATATATGGAACGATCCATCCCTCCGATTGCTTTCAAAATTAGAATCTTAAGAAATTTGCTAAATTGTCCACTGGACAAAAATATGATTTAAATTCAATAATTCTTTTAATGATCCTCTTATTAAAATAACACAGGTGGTCAGTGAGGTGGTCAAAATTACTTTAAAGCTCTGTAGAGCTGACTTTACTAATACAATATTAAGCGAGAAATTTAGCATGTCAAATGTAAAACCATTCGATTTTCTATTCAGAAAGCATTTTAACAAATGTTTTACTGAAAAGAATTCCAAAATTTGAGTTGCCCCTAAGCCACCATTTCCCATTTGTTTAACATGGGATCTGCCATTTTTGTTTAATTTCATCAATTTTGACATCAAAGTTTGACCCATTGTAATGTAGATATAACGTTGAATTTTAGAATCAAGATACAGATTCATTTACTTTATCTGGTTTTCTTTTGTTCCACGCTTAGAAAATAGTCGTTCAAACAAATATGGGGGTTTACATGTAAACCTATGAGGAAAACCACTGGTCCTTAACTTATTTTGAGGAGTATATATGTTAAGACACTCGTCAAAGATAGTCCAGGCTTTGCTAAAACATCCAAAATTCATGCAATCAAAAAAGAAAATCTTGTGCATCTAGATTGACACGCGCTAAGATCAAAACGTTCATAAAGCATGAATTCCATTGACTGTTTTAGCAAACGCCTGCACCTACCTTTGACGTGGCCTTTTACACATATCGTAGATGCGCGTCTTATATCCAAAACGATATGATATTACGATCAGTGCCACGAAATCTGATAGAACAACCGGGCTTTCTTATTTCAGCAACAACCACAATACCACCACCATGTGTATGTCTATATGTACAGGGTGATTCAGAATCAACGTCAAAGATGTTGCCTTTTAAATACTACTACACCAATCTTCGTGAAACTTGTTATAGGTATTTCCACAACATTATTGAGTGCATACCCCAAATGTAAAGATTCTACTATTTGACAGGTTGATTTTATAGTAACTATGGTAACCGGATGTGACGCCACGTGGGGCAACTTATTTGTTTAACTAGAAAATGGAGTGAATAATTTAATAATAAAGACGATATTAATGTTTGCTTTCAACATTTCATTTTATTAAAATGGTGAACATTTGATTGCTCAATTATTGTCAATATATATTACTCTGCATAATGCACGATGACTCATTTTTGAAATGCTAAGTACATCTTTTTTAAATCACCTGAAGTTTGAAAACTGATTCGACCTAGCTTCCATTCAAATTCACCATGTAAGAAAGGTCAGTTGGGGCAAAATTGGGGAAATATGGGGCATGCTCAAGTTGTGGCACTTCCAAATGATTATCAAGTCGAGAATATTTTTTTATTTCTTTCGCTTTAAAGTTGGCCCAGGTGACGTCACATACCATAGTAACCATGATATTAACTCGGTAATGTTTGAGGAACACATGTAGGAAGTTTCAAGTGGCAAATGGCAAGATCTTTGTCATTACATCTGGATCACCCTGTTTCTTTATATTTTGCTTATTATAAGACAAATATGGGCAAAAGATATCGATTAAATCCGAAAGGAATAACCGTATACATGATTCTAATATAATAAGTGACGTCAAACTAGCTAGAACAATTGATTTACTGGTCTATATTGGAGTATGTATGACCGCTAAAATTCATAACTGCAAAAAGTTGTGTTTCTCGTCTGTTTATCACACTAGCATCGTAACAAAGACCTCGATTTTATGATTTATTTCAATTATATGACCCAAAATTTTATTCTGGCCATTGCCAAAGACCGGTCTTTCAACAATGAACAGAATTAAATTTTCGGTCATATATTACGCCATGAATCATAAAACCTCGGTCTTTATTCCTTAAATATATACTAATGAATGTGTCATGTCAAGTACACAAAGGAAATGTAGCAAAAACGCAATATTTTTGGCACCCCTCTTGATTTTCGGACCCGCCCAGAATACGACAGAATCTATTCCAGAAAACAAACATGTTGGGAACGAAAGAAGCATATCATATTTTATTAATATCACCGTCATATTCGCCACTCTCTTATTGGTCCATGTCCTACACGTGACTAAAAAATAACTAGCGTTTACGTGACTTCCGGTGAATATCAAATGATATTCAACGGTCATGAATGGACATTTGAAAAACCTGTTTATCACATGGCCAATACTATGAGTATGAACACAATGGTTACATTTTCTTTGACCCATTGCAATGTTACAATTAATTAATTATTAATTATTGTATAATTTTCACCGAAAATAGAATTAAATATTTGTTTTATTATACCACTATCACGTATATGAATGTATGGAAGATATAAAATGAAAATTACACTGGACTAAGTCAACTCCGGGGCTGTATAAGTCATGACCGTTGAACATCATTTGATATTCACCGGAAGTCACGTGACTTCCGTTGAATATCGCTAGTTTTTTAGTCACGTGTAGGACATGGACCAATAAGAGAGTGAGGAATATGACAGTGATATAATAATATAAGTTATTGAATGATTTGAAGTGCAATACAGGATATATTTTGTTCGAGAAATTCCGTATTGGAACGAGACGAAGTCGAGTGCCAATACAGAATATCGAGACAGAATATATCCTGTATTGCACTTCAAATCATCAATAGCGTTTTTATCGTGTTATTCCCTGTATTGCTATTGAGATTGTCTCCTCCGTACCAATAGTTTCTGTATTGCGACGGAGATGATCAACGGGGACAATCTCAGTAGCAATAAAGATTGGTACAACACAAGAACTGACCAATCAGAGGACTTCATTTTTTATAGATCATACAATAACGGTGCATGCGCGAAAAGATTAAACCAGAATAAACGAACCTCAAGCCGATTGCCTCTTCTCGAAATTTTCTAGTCACCCCAGACAAAGCTGAGAAAGTTTTTAGTTCATAAAGCAAACTGCTGCTGAATATTGTTTTGTGAATAGTTTTTTTAGGTTTTATAATTTATTTACGTCTCACGCTAAAAGTAGTAAAAATACATTATATATTGAATATTGTATTGTGAATAGTAAGCTAACCATACCATATTTATCTTTTATAAACTCGCACGTGTGTCTTGAAAAATCTAGACGATCGCTAAGGTCAATATAAATTTTGATTAGAATAGTTTATTCTTCAAAATAAAACAATTTAAGAATAACTCCTTCGTAATTTATTGTCTTTATTCATATTGTCAAAATAACAATGTTACATACAAACAATAAAAAGATTACAATTCAGATCTAACGAGATTAACAAAAATATGATATTTAAACATGACAATGATTATTGGCATTGATAATTTAAACTGATAGACTGACTTAATAAACCTCACACATCTTACTCCATCTTATACGTGTACATGTATGGTTCAATAGCTATATACGACAACAACGTACAACATCATATAACATAAATCCTAACTTAAGAAAATCTACCTTGGCATTCATCTGGTTTTGATCACCACCAAAATGGATGTTCAGTCCATTGGGGTCTCATAAACATTCTAAAGTTCATATCATATATATAAAATTGAAAGAAACATTTTCATATGTAAAGAAAATAAAAAGAATTTAAAATTCTACAAAATCTCAAAAATATTATAGGAAATTATACGAAAACTAATGTAGTTCTCCAAATCAAGTTTGAAAAATATAAACGCAATCTAACTAATTGATAAAGGACATCTCTGCTTAACATATGTTTAACATATCAAAATTAGTCTGTTAGTTCAAATACATTGAGCGCAAAATTTGCAACGATACTTGTGATCCATCTTATCCGTTTACAATGAAGCACAGCTATATACACATGGGAAACTATATACTACAGCAATATTCAAGATTTATTGTGCTTCATACCAAACATTCGGCTTCCCAACAAATTATTTGACATGATATTTACAGGTAGTATTACATTTATACAGTAAAATACATTTCTGTTATGGATATATTATGAGTACTGGGATTTAGGAGGCTATTAGTTCTAATAAGACCCAGTACAAATGGTTTGTCTAACTTAAACCCCGCACCGTCTCTTATGAAAAGTAAATGGCCCTTGATCCAATTTTATGAACGTTTGATTTCTTTTGCATTGACTATAAGGTAAATAGGTAAACTATCACAACTCAAACGTCTTTTGTGCTACACTGGATTTGGATAGCCATATTGGATATCCATTCTTTAAAAACAATAGAATGTACTATTCATTGCTCCAACTGTAAATTCTTGAAAATTAACTACAGTTCTTGCTATTGTGTTACTACCTCAGTGGAGTTTAATGCGAAATAACTTAATACTAACTGTCATACAATTTAATGTTTCCATATTCAAATGGCTCCCGATGTTGATTAAAAAGTTGGTTAATATGTATCGTTTACAATTTCATAATCATCAGAAATCATTAACATCTTATATTTGTCTTCATTCAACATTTTTTAAATGAACCAATACAACCTATTTTAATTTTTCTGATAAGCAAAGGTGTAGTTGAAAACGGACATGAAATGCCAAAAGGCGATATGCCGGTGATGTGTATTATATAATATATGAAATATTGCAATGAAATTAATATACCTATTACTTAAAAATCAATTCAAACACTAAAACCATGTTAAAGATAATATAATGAAAATACAAAGTATTAACATTTAACAATGTCCATATCTAAAAAGTAGCTTGAATGTCATTGCCCTTTTCAAATCTGATTCAAGTTGCTGATACGGCTGTTCTAACATCATTTGTATTTGGGTGAGTCTTGTTTGTACTATTTCCTTCGGAAATATGAGATGTTGATTTGCAGCAAAATGTTTTAAAACATATTTTCCTGAATTGCTTATTAGCTGCCGAGTAGAGAACAAAATTGATAGAACTATTAAATGTGATAAGATATGTAGAAATAGAATCGAACACCTCATACCCATTCAAGTAATTGTAATATTTCTTCAAACCTAACGTCGACCTAATGATGTACCGTATACATAGCATTACGTCACATATGACGTAGACAAATACAATCAAAAGCAAGAGTGCCGTCATTTGATTCTCTTGTTTCTTACGCTTTATCATCATCTCATTTTCAACATCAGCTTTGACCCCTTGAACCGTCATAGCCGCAATTTTATTATTAGCCTGCCTTACCCCTACAATGACCCTAATCGTAAGAATGATACAAATTATACAAGGCAAGAAAAGTCCTACCCCTGTTTGAAATGAGTTGTATACAATATTGTAAACAGGACTGTTCAATGGTCCTTTGATGATATCCATGACTATCTTACCATTCTTATTCTTTGGCCCAACTGCGTTGTTGAGCAGATTCTCACCGAACACAAGCAAACTGATAAGATAAATCAGCCCAATGCTTATTTTGGTACGCTTGGAGGAACTCCATGTAGTAACCTTTGTTGGCCAACAAACTGCGATATACCGAAAGGCAGTCAGCAAAACAGTCAACCAATTCATTGCCATGATAAAAACATACGCAAACGTCAAAATAATGAATTTGAAATAGATGTTGAAACCAAGATCAGTTTTCTTTGAAGGAGCAAATGATGATTCGTTTGCTTGCCACACAAACTTGGGCAGGCCAATAAGAAGATTACACAGATCCGCCACTGCCATCCAAGTTAGGATCAGAGTATTGGGATTTTTCATTTTTGGTCTGGTTAGTACAATGATGTTTAAAATGTTACCAGCGACCCCAAAAGTACGACTTGTGAGACCAAACAAAAAATTGAAATAAAAATTAAATGTGTAATCGTAAGTTGGGGTGTCCGTTGTTGGTGGGATTGTAATATTTGCCATTATTGCCTGCAATTAACAGCTTATTATGAGATATGGAACTGTTCTGTTTTGATGTCACTTTTCTCAAAATTATATAACAATGCCCCCTGGACATATGTCTTATCAATCTGGAGTATGGGTACTGTATATTTTGTGTGTAATTAGAATGGGATATTCGCTTTATCTTTCAGCCATCTCTCCTCTTGGTTTCCGTGTCCAATCTTGCCCTACAGTGGGACCTGAAGAACATACATGAAATATTATATACATGATCACGATGACATATTCATGACATCATATAAACCATACGTATCGATGAAATGTCTGTGAATATTCATAATGATGTTATTTGTGAGAAAACCATATCTTCCTATATCTACGATGAAGAAAATAGTCTTTCTTCACTATAGATTACATTAACCTTTTGTTTTTAAATTGTCAAATTTGAACCCCTGGATATTTCTAAAAACTGCAAAAGATAGCTATGGACCTGATGTCACCAACGCCCGACCAAGAACCGTTATTACAATTCAAAACTACATTCATATATCAGTCATAACAATACATGTGTGTTTACCAAAGGAAAGGTATCGATATGAGGAACTGAATTCAACAATGTTTTTCTCTTAAACCAATTATTGAAAACATTCTGTAAAAAACACGGTCCTTTATGTAATGTTGACTGATTGGCAACAATTTAATGCAAAAATTATCTATATATATATTATATAACTGTTTTTGTTAACGTTTTTTGTTTTTTAGTGCAATTGTTTTTTGTTCCTTTTTACCAATTCTTGAGAATGAAATAAAATGTCTTTCCGAACCTTGTTGGAACAAAATAGCATATACAACATTTTCTTAGACCTCTCAATATTATAATAGTTATACAAAGGACATTTTGGTTGATTTAACAAAAAGTATGCAAAAACTTAAAACAAAACCCCCAATATATATAGAAATTAAGATAAATTTATTTCATTAACAAGATACCTTTTTTAAATCAACAAAACTTTCCTTTGTACAATTACAATATTGAGAGACCTGTAGTAACCTTTGTTGGCCAACAAACTGCGATATACCGAAAGGCAGTCAGCAAAACAGTCAACCAATTCATTGCCATGATAAAAACATACGCAAACGTCAAAATAATGAATTTGAAATAGATGTTGAAACCAAGATCAGTTTTCTTTGAAGGAGCAAATGATGATTCGTTTGCTTGCCACACAAACTTGGGCAGGCCAATAAGAAGATTACACAGATCCGCCACTGCCATCCAAGTTAGGATCAGAGTATTGGGATTTTTCATTTTTGGTCTGGTTAGTACAATGATGTTTAAAATGTTACCAGCGACCCCAAAAGTACGACTTGTGAGACCAAACAAAAAATTGAAATAAAAATTAAATGTGTAATCGTAAGTTGGGGTGTCCGTTGTTGGTGGGATTGTAATATTTGCCATTATTGCCTGCAATTAACAGCTTATTATGAGATATGGAACTGTTCTGTTTTGATGTCACTTTTCTCAAAATTATATAACAATGCCCCCTGGACATATGTCTTATCAATCTGGAGTATGGGTACTGTATATTTTGTGTGTAATTAGAATGGGATATTCGCTTTATCTTTCAGCCATCTCTCCTCTTGGTTTCCGTGTCCAATCTTGCCCTACAGTGGGACCTGAAGAACATACATGAAATATTATATACATGATCACGATGACATATTCATGACATCATATAAACCATACGTATCGATGAAATGTCTGTGAATATTCATAATGATGTTATTTGTGAGAAAACCATATCTTCCTATATCTACGATGAAGAAAATAGTCTTTCTTCACTATAGATTACATTAACCTTTTGTTTTTAAATTGTCAAATTTGAACCCCTGGATATTTCTAAAAACTGCAAAAGATAGCTATGGACCTGATGTCACCAACGCCCGACCAAGAACCGTTATTACAATTCAAAACTACATTCATATATCAGTCATAACAATACATGTGTGTTTACCAAAGGAAAGGTATCGATATGAGGAACTGAATTCAACAATGTTTTTCTCTTAAACCAATTATTGAAAACATTCTGTAAAAAACACGGTCCTTTATGTAATGTTGACTGATTGGCAACAATTTAATGCAAAAATTATCTATATATATATTATATAACTGTTTTTGTTAACGTTTTTTGTTTTTTAGTGCAATTGTTTTTTGTTCCTTTTTACCAATTCTTGAGAATGAAATAAAATGTCTTTCCGAACCTTGTTGGAACAAAATAGCATATACAACATTTTCTTAGACCTCTCAATATTATAATAGTTATACAAAGGACATTTTGGTTGATTTAACAAAAAGTATGCAAAAACTTAAAACAAAACCCCCAATATATATAGAAATTAAGATAAATTTATTTCATTAACAAGATACCTTTTTTAAATCAACAAAACTTTCCTTTGTACAATTACAATATTGAGAGACCTAAACACGTTGTGTTTATGTCGTTTTGTTCCAATGAGGTTCGGATAGATGTTTCATTTCATTCTGAACATATGATACCAAGAACGAAAGAAGTGTCTGATGTTTTTTCTAAAACAATATAGAGAAAAGTATATATAAATAATTCAAATTATAATGTTACCATTCAAAAGATGACCATTAAGTTGACGATGTGTAAAATCTTCAGAATGTTTTGATGGCTGGTTTAAGTGAAACGCGTGTTCAAAAAGTTCAACATATCGATACCACTCCTTTGGAAGAATCTCTATTCAAACGATGTAAGTGACACTAATTCTAATTCTAAAATCAAGGGGCAAAAGGCCAAATTCTGTTTGCAAAGCTTTCTTCATAAACACAACAATTCAAACCATATTCCCCAACTGTAAATACCATATATCTGGACCCACCTAAAGGTGCCAAGTAAAAACTGAATTTTTAAATATGCTTTATCTATTCTTTCACTCACCGCCTCTTTCCCGTTCACCATAACATGCTCTGATAAGGATAAGATCGAGGATGAGTTACAACGTCCAATTGCATAATATTACATAATACATTACGTATCGCATTCTTATGACATTGCCATTCGATTAATTAGATATGAACACAGGCACAGGTGATATAATCTTCACACGTTGAATCGTCCCTTAATTATCAGGTGAAATATAACAGGAGATGAAAGTCTCAAAATACCTTGAATATGGGTTCTTCGATCTCACCAAACCTAACTGACAATAATACTATGATATCTCATATCTACGAATACCTTAATATTCTCACTAGGGTGCTCACCGTCTTAAAGGAGAGGACATGTACAAGTGGTGAAACCAATATTAAAAATAATTTATTATCCCATTTTTTTAGGAAAAACTACAAAGTGTCATTTTAATTTTTAGATGTATAATCTTGACCTTCATGTTTTCTAGGTGATACTAAATATTTCTCATTCCAAGTTATTGTAAAATATGTTTAAATCCATAATGGTATGAAATTGAGAAGGATTTAAATTTATTTTTTATAACAATTTTCCAAGCTTCAACAATTAGGGAAAAGTCTATTTATTGACTAAGTTACATATCATTGTGAATTGGATTTCTAAGCCCAAGTGCCAAAAAAATTATTTAAGATTTAATAATTTCAATGAAATGAGAATAACAGGATTCAAACAAGTTAATTACCTGAAATGTTCCAATACGATAAACTTCCTTATGTTTTGTGTATATCAGCACATACTCGACTGACGCACATAACTTTTGATGTTTATCTACACCTAACTCCAAATCTTTGCTGTATACTTCTTTATCATATGCTGTAACAGTCAGGTTGAGTCTTGGTTTGATACTGGTCGTTATTAGATCTGATCACATCGTGTCATCAGAGGCTCGGCGTCACTTACATTGATTGTGTTCAGTGCTTACATTAATATTATAAACGTCCTAATCTATACGCTGCTGACTGCTGAATGATTATATTACAGAATTTGTCAATGCTTGCAACACTATACAATGCGAATCCCATTTATGTTTAATTATTGAAAGATGTGCTTTATCATGTCTTTAATCATACAGATCGGCTTTAGTTTCTGACCTGTTTTATCAAACGCGACGTTCTGTATACGAACGTATATATAGAGCCAAAATTCTAAAAAGCAAGCCCAATGTACTGGTTAAGAACCCAAAACGAAGGCCTTTTTGAAAATTTTGGTTAGCTCTTATTACAGTAATACATACACATTGTGGGTATCTCTATTTTCCGGTGCAAGATAAACAATGGTCCCTGGACCCTGAGGATTATTGACTCACTTTAATACTGGTCATCATAAAATAAAATTGGGTGTTGGGTGAACATTGCGGTAACTACAATTTAAAGTGATAACTGTTAATACAGCATGAATACATACATTTGAAAATATATCAACTTTTCAATGAAATTATTACACCGTTGCAAAGGCGTCATGTAGCCATAGCAACCACACCATGGCCAGTGGTTCATGATAAACAGTTTCTAAACGTTGTCACAAAACATGAAAGAAAAGTCGATGATGATAAAAGGAGTATTGTCGGTTCATTTTGGAGTGGAACATTTTGTTTCCCCTTTATATCTTTTCACTGAGAGTTGTATTACATGCATTATATTATCTATCTTTATATTAAAGATGGTGCCATTTTCAATACGATTGTTCACAATCCCATTAAACAACTAATGCTTCTGGTCTGGGTCAGGGAGATTATAAATTGTACTTTACTACCCAGGACAGCCACTTTGGGAATGGTTATATCCCTGGCTATCCTTTTTATGACTCATTTTGAACCTAAGAGAATGTATAATGAAAACATTGTCTTCGTTTTTCAAAATACGATTTTTATTCATTTTTTAATTTAGACGGAACTGAAAATTGCACTTTTTATCAAAGGTGAATTGCTAGTCAGTAAGGCTACAATATAAAAATATAAATTCTTGCAGTAGCAACAAAATTATCAAAACATATCAGATAACGAAGGCTGGGGACTAGACATGACATGATTTTCATTCTCAGTTTAACAAAAAAACTCAATGAATAGTGTAAATCAGGAGTTGTTTGGAGTCAATATGACCTGCATTTCAACATCAGCGGTTTTTGTTTTTAGCTGCAGGTAACAAGAGATACATATAAATGGAAATGAGTTGATATGTATGATAACTTAAAAAATATTGTTTTCATTCATGGTAAGGTTTATGGACCATGTACTAGTCTGTGCATTTCTCTCTTCTTCATATGTGAATGGATCTAAAATAGTGTCAGCCATCTTAGATTGCGCATTGTTTTGGTTGAGCTAAATGTGTTTCAAAATAACGTTTTTGTATACCTTTGATAATTGAGATATCCATGTGAAGTTTCAGGTACAATTTTAAGTGGATCCAGACATTTTTCTTTCTTTCTTATAATTCTACTGAGGAATTTTTCTCAAGAACCATAAAGCATTCAGTTTTAGACAACCATATGGTCAATTAAGGTACATCATCTAGTTGGTTGGAAATTGGGTCAACTTTTGATCTAGGTCAGAGGTCTAAATCTAGGTCAAATCCTATTTTTCAGCATTTTGTCAATCATCTTTGACAGTTTTTAATATTTTTTCTTGATCTTTTTTTTTAAAATGAAGCCAAGAAAAAACAATTGGACAATATGCCATTCGTTCCTTGATTACTCTTACCGTTTTTGAGATATTTGACGTAAAAACGGGAAAATAGGTCATTTTTCAACTTGCTTTGACCAACTTGAATTTGTTCAATTTCCAATTTATAGTTAAATTGGATTTTGGACCAAATGTTCTATAGATTAAAGAAAGTGGACAATTTGCAATATGCAAGTATACATTCATTCAATCCTCTTGTAGCAAGGAATCTAAAACGAATAACATCTGAAATATGGAACATAAAAGAAACAATTTTCTATTAAATCCAAATGATGTAGTCAGGTCTCTGAGGGTTCGTTATAGGCATGTGAGGCTTAACAAATTGTAACAGGAACTATTATATAATTTGCCCACACACTTCAATTAACACCAGCTAGACCCAAGCAGTGTAATTGGACTTATGAGATAAACAATTCACTCTTCGCAAGAGCTCAACTAAATGTGCACTCTAGATACCTTTTGATTTACCTTATAACTATATAACTATGTATCTACGAGGTTGATTCGTTAACTTTGGGTGAGACCAATTAAGCCTTTCGCGGTTCGCTCTTTAATCGAGAAGGAAATATGTACTTAAAAAGCCATCAAGAAAAATGTAGTTTTCAAAAAATGAATGTAGTCCCAAAACAATTGTGATCATGACGAGTCAGTAAGCTAGTATGTAGGTACAGTTGTCATCTTTTTGCAATGACAACATGCCATTTCTTCTGAAAATGCGTTTATTTTGGTTATCTGAAGGAAAATTTCGAGTCAAGTGGCGTATTAATTTTGCCTTCATTTTTGTTAATTTCAATTTCTGTCGGCAGAGAAAGGGGGTAGTGTCACAATTGACCAATTATTTCAAAAAGTAGATGTTTAGCCCCTTTAGTGTCAAAATGTAGCTTAGACATAGCTTTAGAACCTCAGATAGGCCAGTGAGGCCACATAAATCCATAACTCGAGATAAAAAGTCAGGCGTTTGCCCTTTTGCTCATTGACTAATATGGTGACGTGAATTAGGGCTGTTTTGCCT